ATAGGCCACACTTCCCATCTTGGAGCCTTAAAACCTTTCATCTGTTTGGGAGTGAATCAGTGAATACGAGTCTTCTCTCCCTCGAGCCTCGGAACTTAAAAACATTTGGTGTCTTTTTTGGGGGGCATAAGTCTCTTGCCCCGATTCTTGAAAGAGACACCATTGGCGAAGATTTTGCCCCTCCATCATTTCTATCTCTATTCTCTGGAGCGATTGGTATTTCCGTATTCTACTCGATGAATACGAAATTCGATCTATTCGTATTCCATAGCTGGCCGTTAGCAATCATTCCGTTGACATATGCCGGTTGCCCATGCCCACGAATGCCCCCAAACACATCACCCTGAAATCAGTACGCCTCTACGAAATTGTGACTTGTCTCGGATTTGCTCTCCATTTCCGCCATCACTGTTGCACTTTGCCATCTCTGAAGACGTTTGCTTGTCCCAGTTCCTTCGCTTTCCCTTGAGCTCCTCCCCTCACACCCCGTAGGGGGAGTTTAGGGGGAGTTGACTGTTGCTGCCTTTTACTCCATCCTCCTTTCGGAGTTCGAGTGCACCACCCAACGCATCTTTTGCTGCCAGCTCCGACTCCTACAGTAGCGGCCCTGGCGGAACTTGAAACATCTTGAAACGAGACTCCGGGCACAGAGAAGGTAGGGGAGTCGTGACGTGATTGAAACAGGATACCTGGAACACGCTGACATCCTCAACTCTCACGTATCTGGCAGGGCCTCAGAAACCGCAGAGAGAAAGCACGCAGCAGGAATGCAATGCACGGATATGCACGGATATGCACTGGAAGCCTGTGCCGAAAGAAGCCTGCGTGCACATGGAGACATCATGGAGACTATAGAGTCTTTGAGGCCATGGCGCTCAGCGGCACCCGCAAGCGCAAGCGCAAGCGCATGTGCATGCGCATCCACAGCTACATCCACAGCCGCATTGGCAACCGCACGCGCAGAACCCGAGGGCATCCTTCTTATCCTTGGACCACGCATCTTCATCGACGCGGCCATAGTAGTCACAAATGTGGGCCTTGGTCTGCGAAAACATGTCGTCCATGGAGGACTTCTGCTCCTTCATGCCCTGCAGGTCCAGGAGAAGGTTCGCTGGCTCGTGATGGAGGACGTGGCCGAAGAGCGCCTGGGTGTCCGCCTGGTACTTCTCGGTGTTCAGGATGTGGGCGTGCCACGCATCATCCACCTTCTTCGACGGCACTGGGCTAAGGCCGGTGCTCACCAGGGTCAGGTACTTGCGATACTCCTCCGCGAGATCTGCTGCCTTGGCGGCCGAGTAGCCGTCCTTTTCGAGGACGGCCACGACAGCATCCAAGTCCAGCGCTTTCAACTTCTCGGCAGATGCATTGAACCTGCGCAGCTGCTGCAGCGTCGGTCGCGTGCTGGATTGCTGGCACCCCGTCTCAGTCGAGCCTGGAGCTTTGGAGCTTGAAAACAATGCTAGCAAACTTAAACGTGAAACAGCTTGCATCAACACTATCACGCCAAAATCAACAGCAATTTGGACAAAGGCACCCACCACCAGGGCTTGCTCCTTGCGTGAGCGCTGCAGCAACGTCTGATTTCCGTCGATGTCAGTCAGGCCAGGGTCGGTCACGTCGACGCCTCGCAGGGAACCCATCCAAACCTTGATGTCCTGGATCTTGCCCTCGCCGTTCACCTCAAAAACGTAGGTTCCCATCCTGCCGTCATTCTTGACCTCGATCATGAAGGCGCCTCCGTCCACGGAGAGGAACTCCCGAGCCTGGCCCTGGCCGATGTGGCGGAGATTCTCCATCACGTCGGCCTTCCCATCACAAGTTTCAGGTGCGTCGCTCTCTTCAGACATGATCGTCAGGTGCGCGTCGGTCGCAAGGAGATCTCGCTTGGCCTCGGCCGTGTCGTCGTGGATGTTGCGCATCCACGTCTCCATGGCAGCTTTGGTCAACGTGCCGTCAGCTTCCACAGGGAACGCCGCCTGAGAATTTGGACAGAGAAGGCGCTTCTGCAGCCAACCGCACTTCGCTCTTGCAGCCCAAACAAGGATGCTACGACGTTACTACGACGTTACTACGACGTTACTACGACGTTGCTACGACTTTGTCGCATCTCGGCACTGCTGAGATCCTGGCTTGCAAGCTCGTGACATTCGTCAGCCCCGAGTCGTTCAGGTCCTCCTCGTCGTCTCTCAAGGAGCCCATGAAGATCTTGATGTCGAAGATCTTTCCTTCAGGGTTCACCTCGAAGATGTTGGCCCCCATCTTCTGGTTTTTCGTAATCTCAAGGGCAAAGGCGCCCGTGTCCACAGACAAGAACTCCCTGGCCCTGGTGGCATGCCCAAAGCTGTGGAAGAAGGAGAGGACTGTCTCCTTGCCTGCATAGGTCTCGGCTGTCTTGGTGTGTTGCGACAGCACCGTCAAGTAGACGTCCTCCTCCAGGAGGCCTTCACGGAGGCTCGTCATCTGGTTGATGTGGTCCAGCCATTGCTGCATGGTGGCATTCACAGGATCGATGTTCACAAAGAGGGCAGCCGGTGTCGATGGCTTCGCCCAAACAAGCCGGTCGACCTGACCGAAGTAGTCGCAGATCTGCTGCTGCGTCTGCTCCAGGCGACTCTCTTCAGATTGCTGGAGCGGATCATGGTTCAGCAGGTGGCCGAAGACCTCCTGACAGTCTCGCTCGTACATCTTCGTGTACCTGCTGAGAAAGGGTCCAAAATGTGCTTAACTACCACGGTTCGACCTGGCTGCAGCTAGCTAGACACGCATCCGGAACCCCTCTAATATTGAGTCTCATGGAGCCACTACGTGGCGACGGCACATATTCAGGGCGGGTGGCATGATGTGGGCTTGCCAGGCATCCACGACCATCTTGGAGGCGATCGGTGCCTCCCCCATGCCCATCAACACCAGGAACCTTCGGTACTCATCAGCCGCCCTCTTCGCAGTCTTGGGCGCGTAGTCCAGCTTCCTGACAAGGCGGGCGATGACGGCATCCAGGTCGAGAGCAAAGACCTTGTGTGAAAGAAGCTCGAACTTGGCCTTCTTCTCACCCACCAGCCGGGCTCCTAGTCATGATAGTCATGAGGATGATTCTGGCAAAGAAAGAAAGGGGTGACAGTGACTCGTGACATGCACGAAACGCAACTCGGGGGACACGTAAATAACAAAAACACAGGCAGAAGCAGGGCTCCTGTCTGTTCGCAGTCAGAGCCCTCTGGACGCACAGTGCCCTCCTTCTTCCACTGAGCGAGAAAGGCCATCAACTCCTTGTGCTGCTCATCCGACTTTTGCTTCTTCTTCTGAATCCTCTTCTTCTTTGAAAGCTTCTTGGTGACGTTCGACTTGGCATCCTCCTGGCCAAGCATCGCCTCGGTCTCTTCGGGGAGCATCGCCTTCTGGGAGCCCAGACGCTGTTGGATAAGGCTTCCTGACTGGCACACTTCGGCGGCGTCCGTTGCCGCCACGACCGGCTGGGTTTCAGCTGAAACCCCGAAAGGCCCGAAAGCCCAAAGGGAGGAGAAGGCCACAATGCACGCAGCCTTCATGGATCCGAGTTGGATCTGCGGTAAATAAGAGAGAGATGGCAAGGCGATCTGGCGCTTGAGCCGGGATGTGCTGCCAAAGGAGATGCAAACGTGCTGGCAAGACGCTGAGTTACTTCTAAGGGTGGGTAGCATCGCCCCGCGAGACCGCGTACGCACGCGCTGCAAAAAAGAGCTTCGAAGAACTTCGCCAAAGCCTGCTGTCCCCTTCCGAGCGTGCGCAACTTGCGAAGCCCGCGATGCCGACCCTAAACTCTCGCCGAGCCAACGGTCTGCCTTTTCCTTCAGTCTGAGAGCATGTAGGCGATAGGCCACGCGCAAACCTTGTGCTGTGGGTTTCAGTTGAAGCGGCAGCGGAAGCTAACTATACTCGTCTTCATGGAAACTCTTACATGGCACAACGATTCATCAACGAGGGGGAGGGGCCAGGGGGGGGCCTATGGCAAAGAAAGAGAGCACTCCACCTTCTCAAGCTCGGAGGTGATATGACTTTCACCGATGATTGCTTGATGGTCTTGTCAGGAAGAGCCACAATCGGGTCATTTTCCTCTTCAAGTAATGGATGCCCGTTTAGGGGGGGCGGGGTCGAGTCCGAGTGGCAGCCCCGGTTTTGTCACCGGCGACGAGCTCTCCGCGCACCAAGTTCCTTGGGTTTAGGGTTTAGGGTTTAGGGGTTAGGGCTTAGGGTTTAGGGTTTAGGGCTGGCAAGATCGGAGGAGAGCGATCTCGAGAGCTCCTGACCAGCTGACTTGCGCAGGGCAAGCTTCCCCTGAGGCCTGGGAACTCCGGCAACAGAGGAAAATTCGGGTTTCTGTGTGCAGGAAACAGCCTCATGAACTTCAGGCGCATGCGACGTCCGAGCTTCAGTGCCAAGCAGTTCACGGCGCCCTGCATTTTCACAGAGCGCGTCCGAAGCCGCTGGGCATCCAAGTCCTGATCATGAACCGTGACTCGGGCTCCGCCCCCCGTACATCAAAATACAACAAAATTAACCCCTAAACCACCCTAAACTTTAAACCCTAAACCCTAAACCCATAACAAGCGCCAGGCTTCTGTTTTCGTAGGTTTATCAGCCGTTCGGGTTTCGGTTCGAGTTCGTCGAAGGCAAAGGGAAACCAGAACCACAACAACTCTGGTGACCAGCTGGCAGTTCGACACTATAAGCCTGCAGCCAATCCCCGCTGAAACTTATGCCATCCCAAAACCCTTAACCTTTAACCGCCTAAACTCTAAAGGAGATAAGAGTCCCAGCAGAGAATGTCACCATTTCGGAGTCCACATGCGACGACGGGAGACTCCTTACGGCGCCAAGAGGCCCGGTCAAAAAGCCCCAAGGATGTTCACCAAACTTCGCCAAGCTGCCGGAAGAAACACGGCCGAAAGCACAGGGTGGTCGAAATCTCCATACCTCAGCGAAGCAGAGAAAAGAGTCTCCAGAATTGCATCGGCGCACGCATTTCCCGCAAGGCCACACGGAGACCCTAAGCCCGAGCACTGACAAAACAGAGCTCCATAAAGAAAAAGACATAGACAGTCATGGACAGATAGCCTTGCATGAGGGTTATCGGATAAGCGATGTTCGGCAAGCAGGAAGTAGCAGCTAGGTAGCTGTGCGCATGGATACTTGGATAACGGAGCAGAAAGGACAAACAGTTCTCGATGCATGGATACGTGCAAGGGCGATCACGAAGACTATGTAGGCTCCTACAGGAGGCGCCCAGGTGGTCGTGTTAAGAAAACGTCGTCCAGTAGGTTGCTCACGAGAAGATCCTGAAGGAAAAGGAAGAGCAGGGCTGGACCATCACACGAGCCTGTGCGGAAATCTTCTGGAGGCTACACACCTGCTGCCCAACTCCGTTTGCCTCTGCCCAACCCCTGGTGCCATGATGGGCTTGCACTGCTCTGTCGTGCATGTCTTCTCCAAAAAAAAGCCGCATCCCAGAACACTGACTCCTGGCAGACCCACTTTGTGCATACTCGGGCACTGCTCTGTAGTGCCACTGCGATAGACGCAGAGGCGTCCATAATTCTCCTCACAGCGGAGTCTCAGGTGGACAGCCGCGCGGAAGTTAGTAAGGCCTTCAGTTGAACCATGCCGCCATGCGCAACTTCAGCCGAAAGATTGTGATGGCCGCACAGTCCTTGAAACCGCACAGGCTGTACGTGAAGGTCAAGCGTTGTTCGCCTGACGGCGTCGCAATGTGCCACCTGAGGCTGGGTTGAGACACGAACTGAGCAGCTTCGGGCAAGTCTTCGCTGCCCAGTTGCGGTATGTACGCGGCGTCTGTGCGAATTTCCTGCAGCTTGGCCCCGCTGTCGGGCTGCCAGATGCAGACACAGTGACTGCGATCCGTTGAAACGAGGACCTGCCGCAGGTTTGCGAGCTTGCATGTTCTGTGCCCATGGTCTTCTTGAACCAAACATGCACCCCGGCAATACCTTCGAGCCTTGTCTGCCGCACTCCAGGCCACGCAGGTGATGGTGCTGGCACAATTGAGCTTCCTTGGCGTTGCAGGAAACAGAGTTCGAATTTCCAAACGCTTCAAGGCGCACCCGGCCAGCCGTTGCCATGATTCGTGCCACTTGTTCTCTCCCAAGGTCCACATGGGGGTTTCCGAAATTAGGGTCCGTATACAAAGGGAACCCTACTATTTGCATAGGGAACCCTACTATTTGGGGTCTTTTTTTCGGGGCCCCCCTATATCGTAAACCCCCCACATGAGAGTGCCCCCGACCCGCACGCAACAGCAAAAAGGGCCCCACAAGAAATGCACTCGCCATGCTCTCCCAGTTCAGACACCAGAGTTCAGGTGCTGCTCGAGGCTGTCCGGATTCCACAGGACAATGCGGCCCTTGGGTTCTTTGGGGTCTAGGCTTTTGGGTGTAGGGCCTTTGGGCCTTTAGGGTTTGGGTTTAGATCCTTTTGGACCCCCCGGTGAGGTTTGGGGGTCCGCAAAAGGAGAAAACTCTCTGGATTTTGCGGGGGCCGAAGAATGTTTGCGGGGCTTCGATGGGCCTTGGAGAGGCTTTCGCTTCAGAGGTTTTCGAGGGGTTTGTGGCGTTTCATGGGGGCTCATGGCAGAGGCTTCCTTTCAAGGGGTGATCGGTCCTGAAATTCTTCTTACTTCGATAGGACGAGGGCCCAGGGCTGACGACAAGTTCGTTAAACGCGAAGAGATGCCTCTGCAGTCAAATGGTGGAGGCTCAAAGGCTAAGCGGCCCAGCGAATGCTTGCCGCACCCTCCAAGTTTGAGCAAGCTTCCCGGAGCATTGCAAAGCGGAAGCCCTAAACTTGCCCTAGACCCCTAGACCCCTAAACCCTAAACCCTAAACCCTAAACCCTAAACCCTAAACCCTGAACCCTGAACCCTGAACCCCAAACCCCAAACCCCCCCAAAAAAACTCAAAAGTACTCTTCGCAGAGGCTCCTGTGGCTTCTCCTGGCTGAAGGAGCCGTCGCCCGTCACTGCCGAGCGCAGCTCGGGAACGAAGATCATGCACGTGACCAGCTTCTTGTACCTGGTTTAGGGTTTAGGGTTTAGGGTTTAGGGTTTAGGGTTTACGGTCTAGGGTTAGGGTTTAGGGCTCAGGGTTTGGGCTTCAGGGATTAAATACTCAAAAACAACTGTATATATGGGTTTTGGGCTTATCGGGCCGCAGAGATCACGACACCATCTCCTCTACCCTAAACCCTAGGCCCTAAACCCTAAGCCCTAAACTCGAAACTCTAAACTCTAAACCCTAAACCCCAAACCCTAAACCAAAGAGCTCAGCGGCTGCATCTGGGCACGCAGCTCCCCCGTGTCCGAATCCCAAACCGCCACCTCCAGGGAGGTCGCTGGTTCCAAAGCGTGTTACCAGTCCAGGGTTTAGGGATGTTTAGGGTTTACAGGGTTCAGGGTTCAGGGTTCAGGGTTCAGGGTTCAGGGTTCAGGGTTCAGGGTTTAGGGTTTAGGGTTTAGGGTCGAAATTGAATAAACGGAGACAGACATCCCTATAACCCCGCCGTCGAGCTCTCCCGTACAGCGCGGCCCCCGGCGCCAAGCACCGCGCGCAGCGGGGCGGCCACTGCCACCTGGAGCGCAGCAGTGCAGGGGATACATGATTAGGGTTTAGGGTTTAGGGTTTAGGGTTTGGGGTTTAGGGTTTCGGGTTTCGGGTTTCGGGTTTAGGGAAACTGAACCTTCATGAAATCTCCAGGACTCTCCGAATCAGAGACTTGAAGGGGCAACTAGCTCAGGGCCTTTCAACAAGTTCTGAGAAGGTTTAGGGTTTAGGGTTTAGGGTTTAGGGCTTAGGGCTTTGGGCTTCCTAGTACTTTTTTGCTGCCCAGGTGCTGCCAGGATGGGGTCTTCGGAGCTGAGCTTCCGCCGCACCGCGCCGCTGCCCAGGTCGACGAGCGTGGCGGCACCTGGTGGGTTTGGGGTTTAGGGTTTAGGGTTTGGGGTTTGGGGTTTAGGGTTTAGGGTTTGGGGTTTATAGGGTTTATAGAGTTTATAGGGTTTATAGGGTTTATAGGGTTTATATTGTTTATAGGGTTTATAGGGTTTATAGGGTATATAGGGTTTATAGGGTATATAGGGTTTATAGGGCTTGGGGTTTGGGGTTTAGGGTTTGGGGTTTTGGGTTTAGGGTTTAGGGTGTGCTTGCTGCTGGTTCGTAGGGAATTGGGGAATAAGGTACCCTGTACAATCTCTTAAAGGGTATACATCGGGGGCACCGCATATAATCCCTTGAAGGGTAGATATAGGGGGGTACTCCCTCATTCCCTACCAACCAACAGTAAGTGTGCGGGCTGGGTGATACCGATGCCGACTCTTAAGCAGAATGTATTCCGCTTAGTCTTAATACTGTTAATATGACAATATACATACATATATAGATATATATATATATGATAATATATATATATATACATATTCTTAAGCAGCATGTATTCTAGCTTGTTCTGAGAATTCTGTTATCATGATCTTCAGCTTATTCATATAATACTGCTATAATGATATAGTTGTGGGAACACTAACCTGTCGCAATCACCGCCATCATCATCTTGGAGGCTCTCGTTGCGGCTGCAAGCTGATTGCCTACTCCTACTTGGAGGTTCATGGCACTTATTAGCCAATCCGCCGAGGCCTCGGGCCGAAGGTGTATTGGTAGTCAGAACAGGCACCCCCCTCCAAATCCTCCCCCCAGACCCAAAAGCCCTTTTTCGGACCCTTTTTTTGCCTCAAATGGGTACCCCGCCTAGGTGAGCAGGGTCCGCAAGCGGATGGTTCGCCAGGACCAGAGGCAGTTGCAGCCCTTCCCAGCAAGGCTCCCCCCCCCTACCCACTCCTACCCCCCCTACCCGCCCCCCACCCCCCCCTACCCCCCCCCCTACCCCCCCCCCCAACCCACCCAACCCCCCCGACCCCACCCCTACTCCCCACCCCCCCCCTACCCCCCCCCCCTATCCCCCCCCTTTTTTGTCCCTCCCCCAAAAGCCACATGAGCGGCTGGCTCGAGGTGCTAATGGACGCAACAAGAGGGGCTTGATGTTTGTAGGTGTCGCTATAGCACACCCAATGGTTCATAACCTCGGGGTGTCGCTTTTCAAGTGTTCCCATCGTTTTACAGGGTTTTGGGCATTCGTGTCCACCCCTTGCTTAATTGAATGGCTGGGGGTTTTGGCGCTTGCTCACATAAGGTGTTTGTGAAAGGCGGAGTTTTCCTGCTCCGACGCGCTGCCCTCAAGCCGCCGAGGCCTCGGGCCGGAGGTGTATAGGTTGTCAGAACAGGCACCCCTCCAAGGCCTCAAATGGGTACCCCCCCCTGGGAAACCGGGGTCCGCAAGCGGACGGTTCGCCAGGACCAGAGGCAGTTGAAGCCCCTCCCAGCAGCCCCCCCCCCCCCCCCCCCCCCCCCCCCCCCCCCCCCCCCCCCCCCCCCCCCCCCCCCCCCCCCCCCCCCCCCCCCCCCCCCCCCCCCCCACCCTTCTCCTTAAACCTTAAAGGGCCTGGCTCAGCCCTACGATCACTCCAAGCCGAACCCTAAACCCAAAAAAACCCTCAACCCCAAAGCGTGAACCTTGAGCCCTAAACTAACCCTCAACCCCAAACCCCAAACCATAAACCATAAACCCGGAACCCTCAACCCTCAACCCTCAACCCAACCCTTATTGCTTGGGGTCCAGCGACTTGGGCGCTGCGGAATCACCATGCTCACGCGGATGCGCTGGGCCAGGCCGAGGCGGGTCGCGTAGCGTTAAAATTATAACTGTACTTACAACTGTACTCAAAACCTTATTAGGGCACTTAAGGGGCTTATAAGTGGGTTATAAGCTAGCCCCTCACAGTTCGCGCAGCTGGTTTTTGAAAAATGCCGCCTGACGTGTCGCCGATAACCACCAAGCCGAGCTCCTGCCGAGTTCGCAGTGACAGCCGTGACTACCGCCGCGCCTGCGCGCTCAAGATCAAGCACAGAGCTTCCCACACTGCACCGAAGTCATTCAAACAGGCGCCCAACACTGCGAATCCGAAATCCGGGGAGGCCCTTCGTTCCGATCTTTCCCCTCCCCCTCTCCGGGTCGGCGCTCAGGCTGGACACTGGCGAGCTGGCCCGGAACACGGCGGAGCCGTCCATGGCGCCACGGACGGGAAGTATGTGACTCTACTGTCTTCCTATGCAAGGGCGGACTAGTCCGCATCAGGAGCTATTACTACAACAATCGTCACAATCATGACAACCATGATAACGACAATCTTGATCAACATCATCACGCAATCGTGAAAGGATCGTGGTGGGCTTTCTTGAGGTTGATGCGGAAACGACAATGAAATCTGATGCCCCTACTTTTCCGTTCTGCTGCATGAAGCACTTTCGTCCCGTGCTTCCGTAAAACCCTAAACCCTACACCCTACACCTTAAACCCTAAACCCAAACCCCCAAACACCCCTCCCAGTCACCTCCAATCTGCAAAATGGGAGGTGGGTTACTTGCAGGGCTGGAGGAGGGTGAGGGGGGAGCGGCCCTGCCTAAACTTAAGTCATACTCTCTCCCTGGCTCGGCCCAGGTGCATGAGTGAAGAACCCTAAACCCTAAACCCTAAACCCCAAACCCTAACCCTTAACCGGGTTAGGGGTCTAGGGTTTAGGCTTTAGGGCCTAGGGTCCAGGGGTTTAGCCGCTGTTTTTGCCGACTTCCCGGCTTTCTCAGGCCACAAAGCATCCAAAGGCCATGGACAGCCAAGAGTTACATTGAGCTGGCCGAGGCGCACTGAAGGCACAGGCCATATCTTACAACTTTGCGCCTTCATAGAGGTGGCCGCGACCTTTTTTTGGTGTAGCCAATTCTAAAAGTTGTCTAGTTCTCTGGCTTTCAAAGCAAAATGCAACGGTCTCAGGCCAGATGAGGAAGAGGTGCAACCATTCACAAACAGCATGTGCATCATGTGCGTATTCTAGTCTGCTCGAACTCTTCTGGTCTGCACCCCTCGGCTGCCGAAAGCACTCCCGACTCGCCAGCCGCAGCTGTTCGCCTCATCTGTGCAAGCTTCCCGCGTGCCGCCGAGGTAGCTTTCAGTCTCACGCCCTCCTTGCACATGGTTCCCCTACGGTATAACCGTATAGCCATGAACCCATGCCCTCAAATGATGTGAGCTTTCAGTGTTGTAGGGTCTACAGTTCCGGCACCTCCCTCCAGGAGACGCAGACCCTGGAGATCACGAAGCCATGAAACAAAGCGCGGCCGCTCTTCAAAAAGGAAGCTGGATTGAGAGACCGTCGAGCAAGAGTTTTCTACTTCGGGAAACTCTCCTGAGGATGGGATTGAAATCACACACGCCTGCCAGCCACGTCAGTACATCTACGCGCAAGCTTCGCTCAGCACGAGAACACGAACAGACGAAACTGTACAATTGAATTCAGGTTTAGGCTCGGGACCAAGCGAGCTTTGTGACCCCAATCACTCGTACAAGCCCAGTGGGTCTTCTTGTGGGTCGAGCAAGGACCGCACTGAGCAAGCTCGCAATCTTATTTGTTCCCTCCCTTGGGCCACAAAGCATCAAAGGTCTTGGCCGGCCAAGAATTCCTGCTTTGAACTGACCGTGTCGCAGTGTAGAAGCGTCTTTATGGGTGGCCGCTTCTGTTTTGTAGCCAATTCTAAAAGTTGTCTGGCTTTCAAATCAAAATGTAACGGTCTCAGGCCCGATGAGGACGAGATGCAACCATTCACTCGCGTCTGTTCTGCAGCTTCACAGTAACTGCCCTTACTGCTATTTATGTGCGTTATGAAGTTATGAGTTCCGTTTCATTCCCAAGCTCACCAGGTGTCAACCTCGTCTGCACAAGCCTTCCCATGTCGGAGCATCAAGCCCTCCTTGCAATGCCCTACCTATGCCCCCCCCCCCTCCATATCTTTGTGTCTTATGAGAGCTTTCGCAGGGTCTACACTTCCGGCATCTCCCTCCAGGAGACGCAGACCCCCGATTCAAAAAATGCGGCCTGGGTTGAGAGACCGTTGAAAAGCAAAGTTTCAAAGGGGTGCTCCCCCTGAAAAGAAGATGAAAGATCACACGGATGCACGGTGGCCAGTGGCCAGGGGTGCCCTTACGGCTGGTCTGCAAGGCCCAACTGTGTCGACTGATTCCGAGCATCAGACGCAGATCGGCAAGCCCGCCGATGAAGGCAGGCAGCCACGCAGGTGGCGCCACAAAAGACGCAGCCCATGATGCCGTAGGCAAGGTACATCCAGGGAAACTGCTCAGCGCCAACCGGGTCGGGAACTTTGTAGAGATCCCTGATGGTGTTGAGATGCAGAACCAGGTCGTCCCGACTTGCCAGCAGAGAATCGACGTTCTTCCGCCCCATGTTCTTGAGCGTGTTCTTGAGCCTCGCGGAGGCGACATCCACTTTGGCCCACTGACTCAACAGATCAGGTCGCTCTGAAGGAATGGGAGGGAGACCGCTTCCTCCTTGCTTCAAGTCTTGGTGGAGCCGGCTGAACTCGGCCATGATGACCTCAAACACCCTGAGTGAAGTCACTTCGTAGACGAACATCACAGCCTGCAGCACCGTCTTCTGCACAAGCAAGATCTGCCGCGACGCGGCATCCACACGGAGGAAGGGGACACTGGGGTAGGCTCTTGTGGCCTCGGCAATGCAGAGGTCTTGGAGTGAGTTAAGAGCCGCGACGACCTCCAGGCTCTTCAAGACAGCGGTATCACCGCTTCCGCCCTCCAACGACTCGGCAAAATCAAGAACTGGAGGCTCAACAGTCTCGACGAGCTTCTCGAAGATTGCCTGAGTTATTGGGGCAGGGAGTGTGGCCGACCCGTACGAGATGTCGTAGAGCTTCTGCATGACCTGCTCCTTGACCGCCAAGATCTCGGCGAGCTTCTCGAAGGCCGAGCCAGAAGAAGCCACAATACTGATCTGGGTGGCGCAAGCTTCCTGGCTAAAGGCACGAAAGTCTCCGACTGCCACAACCATCTCTAGCCAGTCGTCGGCAGGCAGCGTGTCATTCTGGCATGGCAGAGTGTCCTGGGTGTCGTTGTTCACAAGGGCACTGGCAAACGAGGTTGTGAGCTCGTACGTGGTCTGGGTTGTCAAGCTCAACATTTCCAAAGCTCCTCGGCTCTGTTGGGTTCCAGCCAGCACCATCTCGCTGTCCCGGACCACAGAGTTAAACATGTGATAGACCTTCAACATGTGCTGGACTTCGCAGACAGAAGCCAACCTGATCAGTGTGGGCTTTCCGTCCGAGCCCGGAGACCCCACAAGCATGGACCGGTGGCCTGCGAGGAATGCATCCCGCGTGGCGTTGAAGAGCTCGCGCGCGCTTTCCATGATCTCCCTGGCGTCCCCATTGGTAGCGGCAAAGATCAGGTTCACCAGCATGGTCATCTTCGCGAGCATCATGGACTGAAGCGAGGCCACCGATGCCTGGACATCTTGGACGGCGTATCTGGTGCCTTTCAAACTCAGCGTCGCCTGTTCGACGAGGCTGCTCCTCACCACTTCCAGCTTGTCCTGGAATTGCTGGGAGAGGAAAGACACCTTTGTGGCCATCATCAGTGGGATCTCGGTCGAAGATATCCCCTTTTGCAAGTCCTCGACGAGTGAAGCCCACATAGAGCTTGCAACCCGGAGCTCATCCAGGAGTGACTGGGTGGGGGCAGCTTCGATGCTCTTCGCCTTGTCGCCCTCGATCATACTGGCCAAGGCTGCTGAGACGGTGTTCATCCCAACAATAAGGCTCACCGTACTTTGCTGGACGGCCACAGCGTTGGACATTTGCAAGAAGCAGGACACAGTCATCTGCGAGTCGGCCATAACGTCCGCCATACTCAGGATCAGGACCTTCCAGCCAGAGGCCGTCATGGCATCTACTGGGTTGCAAGTCCCTGGGTCGTTGACATAGAGGCTCACCGCGGCCGCCATGGCGTCGATAAGGGGGCCACTCCTGGCCTCAATCTCGGGTGCAAGTCGGTGCGCGGTCTTGATGTTCTGGCTAATTGGTAGCACAGTGGAGATCTCCGAGATCAAAGGGTCGAACAAGCCGTAGTTGTAAGTGACCGCACTCATTTGATGAGTGGTGCACAGCTTCGTTACAGGTGGCACGCCTGCCCAATGTGCTCCCCGGGTGATCCCCTTGTGGGAGGAATGGAACAAGATCTGATCTTCTTCCAGCATGCTGGCGGCCGAATTCACGTGCACACCTGAGGCGACAAGATAGGCTTCCTTACACATCCGCTGAATCAGCATCTGCTGGCGGCCAGCCAGGTCCACGACGAAACCCTTCGTCTCGATTTTGGCTAACTCCGCGATGTGCGCCAAATTACTCACCACAACGTTGGACTGCACAAGGAGCGGCATGTTGCCCCAGGACACGTAAATAAGAATCTCGGTCCTCACATCAGGAGCTGCATCTCGAATCTGATCTACGTTCTTTAGCAGCAGCTCCACAAAGGGTGCCCAGAGGTCCGCCACCTCTTGTAGGCCGCTAGCCACAAGATCCGTTGGCGGGCTAGAAATGTTGCGCGCGTTGTTGCCGTGGATCATGTCATAAAGGCTGTCGTTGAATAACTTGATGCTTTCATGCATTCTCCTCTTGTTTGCTTCAGGATCAATGCCCAAGGAAACCAAAATGAATTCTTTGGACATTTGCTGAGTGAGCATTGCCTGACGCCCAGCCACGTCGAGTGTGACCCCCAAGTCTGCACCGACCGGTGCGATGAGGAACATGCAGACAGTGTATACAACGCACATCTTCCACCTTCCTCCGGCCATGGCCGTTCACTGCATGTTGGTGCTGGGCACTGGGACTGTGTTACTGCTACAGGTCTGAGCCTCAGCCCGAGCCCAGCTTCGCACGTTGCATCATGGAGAAAAGCTCTGGGCCTGTTTTGGGACTCGTACTCCCCACCACCATCCGTAGGATCCGAGCGCAGCAATGTAGCAAAGTGAGAGGTGGGAGTGGTCCTGGTCTTGTAGTTGCTTACACACAGGGCCCGGAGTCCTCACAGCTCCACCCTCAACTCCACAAAATTGCCGTTAACGTCCTTTAACTCTACAGGCCAACTTTCTACGCATTCTCTGTAGGTCCGCCACAGGAGTCTCAAAGAGGCGCCACCCCACGGCTCACGCAAGAGAAGAGCTGGTTCTCTGCCTGTTTTTTCGTTCGTCTCATTCTTTTGACCATCTCCGCATGCACACTGCCGCCGTGGTGATGAGGGTGGTCATACCCTCGGTTCTGGGCACATGGGACATGGGGCAGCTCCTCTTTCACCTCCTTCACCTATGCCAACGTTCCGTCTGCCAATCCAACTCCTTGTAGGGACCGAAACTTGGGTGATCGTACTACTCCGCATGATTCGGCTCAAACCTGACCTCACTCAAAGCATCTCAAACCACCTGCAACACTCGTAGTCTCCTCAACATGCAGCCTCGTGTCTAGGACCAGATACCTCGGCTGCCCGGTGGAATGCAAAAAAGCTGGGATGATGGAGGAGGCTCCGTTCGAACAAGAACCTTCCGTCGAACATGCTCGGAGGCACGGTTCTCTTTGCTTCAGAACATAGGCTGTGAGGCGAACCGGAGCCGACGGCCAAGGGTGGGATCGGGATGAGCAAGGGGACTGGTCATAATACATTGCACATGGCGGGTGGGCACCATGGGCGCTATTGTGGGCAAGGTGGCAAGGTGCATATAGACCCATACCACATACATATATATATATATACATATATATAATTATATATATATATATACATATATATATATATACATATACATATGCATATCGTGACATCAACGCAAAATGCCACATAACCAGAGGTCGCCGAAGCAAGGGCTTGCATGGAGCTACTGGCTTGCGCGGTCTACCCTCCGAGTACCTTAAGGGCATATCCCAGGGGCGTGTACCGCAGCGACACGCGGCCAAATGAAGCCGGAGGATCCCTCTTCAGGATGAGCTCCTGGGGGCGGAGGGTCTCTTTTTCCGAACCTTTCGGCATGCTGAGGAGAGAAAGAGCATAGAATTCTCGGGTGGCGCAGTCTCGCGAATGGGACCCTGACACAGCCTGCGGCTCGGTCCTTGATGGCATAGTACCGGGCACGGCCCGTGAAGAGCAGAATCAAAACTAAGAGGGCCATGAGAATTTCCTTGGCGGGTTACCAGCACAGCGTTCTTGAAACGCACACCACCTGTGGCATCGCCTAGAGCCTCTGCCAGCAAGACCTTGCAAAACATCACAGGGTTGAGCTGGCCCCGAGCAACTTGGCTCTGCAAATCTGAATCCGAAGGTAGCATAAGCTTTTCTCCCAAGCTGCGCTCATGGACACGCCGGCCTCCCAGAATCGACTGACGCCTTCAATGGCCTGGGACTCTTTTGGCTCGGATGTGGGGCAATTTGCTTGAAAGTTTCTCAGTCCACGCGTGTTGGGATCAGGTAGACAATACGACATATTCATATTGTGGACTGAGATGCGGGTGCCACGGCGCTTCTTGCTTGCGCCCTTATCTTTGCAGCTGCTTCCATGAGGACTTGAAGTGCAATGCTGAGCTGCGTAGAAGACGAAGATGGTGCGAATGCCTCTACAGCAAAGGGGACAAGCATGTAGCGACTGGCAGAATAGAGGCACACAGCCACACCTCTGAGTTTCATGCTGTCCGACGCGCTGCGACATGATCAAGCCACGCACACGCACGCACACACGCACGCACTTCGGGACACACACACACACACACACACACACGCACACACACACACACACACACACACACAGCCCGGCCGCGCCTGCCATGGCTGTTCGGATCCATGCGAGGAGGGTCCTGAGTAGACGCCATGCAAGCGCCGGTCATGTCTTCTGCGAATCTAGGAACCGAGCTGAGACGCTGAAGTGCAAATATCTCCATATTTGGCTTATTCAAAAGCAGTGCCATTGACCAGCCGCCATTGCCCTTCACTTCAGCGCTGTTGAGAGGGGAGGGATGGGAGGGAGGGGAGCAAGAGAACGAGAGCGAGAGAGAGAGAGAGAGTGCGTGCGTGCGTTCGTGCGTGCTTGTGGATGTAGGGAGAGAGATAGAGAAAGAAAGAGCGAGGGAGAAAGAGAGAGAGTGAGAGAGAGACAGAGACAGAGAGGGAGAAAAGGAGAGAAAGATAGAGAGCGAGAGAGAGAGAGTGCATGCAAGCATGTCTTTGTGTGTGCGCACACTGCACGAGGGCGAGTTCGTGTGCGAATGGATGTGCGGTTGCTTCTGAGTCGAGAGAGTGTGTGCTTCACCCCGTGTTGCCTCATCTGCCCCCCCTCATTCCTGAGACGAATCCCAAATGTGCCTTAAATTGCTTCTGCCGGGTGACCGCTCATTGGCAAGGTCAGTGGAAAGCCGATTGAAGCCTTGGGACTGTCCAAGTGGCATGGATTCACCCGTTCCGTCTTCTCTTCTGTGTATCAACAAGAGGCTGTGAAAGAATCCGATATGCAGGCAGGGCGGCGTTCCATTGCAGTGACGATTTCGTCGGTTTGCTGCGCGAAGTTCTCCCACCGCACCTTCAAGTGCTGGACCATCACCACATGCATGACTGCGCAGAGTGTGCAGAACTCCCTGAAGCCTTCAGAGCCAAACCCTAAACCCTAAACCCTAAACCCTAAACCCTAAACCCTAAACCCTAAACCCTAAACCCTAAACCCTAAACCCTAAACCCTAAACCCTAAACCCTAAACCCTAAACCCTAAACCCTAACACTAAACCCTAAACCCTAAACCCTAAACCCTAAACCCTAAACCCTAAACCCTAAACCCTAAACCCTAAACCCTAAACCCTAAACCCTAAACCCTAAACCCTAAACCCTAAACCCTAAACCCTAAACCCCAACCCCGAAACCCTAAACCCTAACCCCTGACCCCTAAACCCTAAACCCTAAACCCGCCCTAAACAAGGGCTGAGCTATCAATTCAACGGGCACCCGCGACATGCGCAGCAGGCTGGTGTAGCTGGAGCCGGCTGAGCCGACACGTTGGACGGCCTGCGGCAGCTTGTGTGGGTCCCAGCAACTCGCCCCAGTCGAGAGTCGTCTATTACAGGGTTTAGGGTTTAGGGTTTAGGGTTTCTTGGTTTAGGGTTCAGGGCTTAGGGTTAGGGTTTAGGGTTTAGGGTTTAGGGTTTAGGGTTCAGGGTTCAGGGTTCAGGGTTCAGGGTTCAGGGTTTAGGGTTTAGGGTTTAGGGCTAGAGTTTAGGGAATGTGGGGGGTGAAAGGTGGACGCAAAATCGGGGTGTTCTCTCAATCAGGGTTCCTTCCTTTTGGGGGGGGACCATGCTTTGCAGAACTGCCAACATAGTAATATGTGCTTATGCCCTAAACCCTAAACCCTAAACCCATTGACCTTAGACCCATGTACGGAACCACTCTTCCCCGATAGGTATCGTGTCATTTACGAGAACGGACCAGATGACACAGCTACCAGCTCTTAGCACTCGGGAAATAGGTACACCCCCCCCCCCTCCCAAGCCTTGAATGGGGGACATTTTGGGAACCTGAGGGCCCCCCAAAGCACCAAGCCGCAGACTGAAGCCGATCCACCCGATCTCTTGCTAAACCCTGATGAAACCCTCCAAAGCCTAAGCCCTAGCAAGGGCCAAATAGGGGGTACTATAATCCCTAGTAAGGACTACGTCCCAACCTAAACCCCTTCATTCCCCCCCCCTGCCCAACCCTGAACCCTAAACCCTAAACCCTAAACCCTAAACCCTAAACGAAAAAGGGAGAACATCCCAACCTAAACCCCTTAATTCTCCCCCTCCCCATCCCCGAGCCTCAAGGCGCTGCGCTTCCGGAGCGCCTGCAGCCTGGGGGGGTGCTGGGGGTAGTAGATGAAGGTTTAGGGTTTAGGGTTTAGGGTTAAGGGTTTAGGGTTTAGGGTTTCGGGTTTCGGGTTTCGGGTTTAGGGTTTCGGGTTTAGGGTTTAGGGAATATTCGTGGGGCATTTTTGGGGGGGGGATAGGATTGGGTGGTACTTGATCTTCTTGGGCAGTTTGGAGGGTGGATATTCTTGGGGGTATTTAGGGTATGGGAGTGTCGAGCAAGGTTTTTCAGTGTTTTTGGGTTTGGGACTTTCGGGCTTAGGGGTATGTATTAGTAATAGGGTTCAGGGCATTTGGGTGATTAAGGTTATAGGGCGTCGGGCCGTAAGGGTTAGTCTAGGGTTTATGGTTTTTCCAGTTTGGGGTTTAGAGTTTTAGAAAGGGGTCGTGCTTCGATTGCTGCTAGGGGTGCTTCGCACGTCTACCACCCTCAGTGGCTTCCTCGCATCAGAGACGGGGACATGCCATCTTCTGCTCATGCACTGCTGGCAGCTACCCTCTTCCTTCCCGTCTTCCAGTGCTTGCAACAAGAGATGCCATTGAGCAAGCCCGCGAAACGGAACCAGCCGTTGAAACCCCCGGAAATCTTGTGCCGACAAGAATTCTTAAGGCTCCGTCAAGGACCCACAGTCGCGAGAGCAACATCGCAACAGAAATTCACCACCCCTTGCGTTTTATCTCACAAAGAAAAACTACTCTCCTGAAACCCCAAAAACCCCCAAAAACCTCAACCCTCAACCCTCAACCCTAAACCCTAAACCCAAAACCCCCAAAAAACACTAAAGGAAGCTGAAGCGGCTGCCTTGGGAGCTTCATCGCTCTGAAGCCTGGGTGTTTCTGAGCTCCTTCTTTCTGTTTCTGAATGGCTTGCGACTTGTGTATAAACCGCGTGTGTATGGGCACTATTGCTACAGCATGTGTGAGTCTGGTGATGTACATGATACAGAGTTGCAGCATCCATGAAAGAGTGCATTTCACAAGGCGGCTTCATGCTGTGCCCTATTTTTGCATGTCGACTCGACATCTCCAGACGAGAAAAAAACGAAATCTACACTGGGCGCGTCAGGTGGCCATGAGAGTCAGCTGGAGTGCGAGCCCAGTTGCGAGTTAACTGGAAAGGAATGGCCGGGCTTCTCGTTGACGTGCACCGTCAGCAGGAAGTCTTCCTTATGGTCAGGAGGCGTCAAAGGGGCGCCCCGCCCCTTGATCAACACCTCCCGAATCGAGCTCGGCCTATCAAGTCCTGCCACACATACCTAAGCGTCTACATGCCCACGTGAAAAAGACTTGAAAAGCAAACCTCCGCAATGACTCAAAACAGCCAAAACCACAAAAAAAAAAAAGAGATATCTCTTCTCTCTTCTTCATCATGTGGTATTTCCCGAAAAGAATCCCCTTAAAATCTGACCCCCCCAAAAAAATGTACCCCTCAACCCCCGAAACCCTAAACCCCTCAACCCTCAACCCTAAACCCTAAACCTCAGACCCCCAAACCCCCAAACCCTAAACCCCAAACCCCAAACCCTAAACCCCAAACCCCAAACCCTAAACCCTAAACCCCAAACCCTAAACCCTAAACCCTAAACCCTAAACCCTCACCCCCTAAAGGCCGGGCCGCGGGGAGCCCCGCGTGGAGCAGCGCTGCCGAGAGCGGCACCACCGGGCCCGTGGCCTCTCGGGCTTTCTTTTTTGTCGGCTGTTGAGTGGGAACTTTTTATACACTTTTGTAACTATATAAAATATTATATATAACACTATATATATTATACAAGTATAAGTTTATATATATATATACATGTGTATACATATATATATATATATTACTATGTTATGTACATTAAAATTATTATATAAAGTTGGCAGGCCTCGGGCGTCGATGTGCAAAAGATGGCATCCTGGCAGGTCAGTCTCTGCAAGACTCTTCTGCCGGGGCGCTCTTGCCACTGCAGTCCCGGGACATGTCTGATCAAAGCCAGATATTTGGCATGAGCGCTTCATGAGGTGGCCGACCCTCGACAAAACGAAGCTTGCAATCTCATCTCTGAGGATCACACGACGCGAGCACATGGTTTTCGTGGATGCTGCTACAACAATCAGCTTTACATCTTCCCCCCTCCACCGCTTTGCTCCAGACCGCCTCGGATGCTCCCACGCGAGCGGCCACGGCACGATGTAAGGATGCGCAGTCAACTCCATCGTACCTCAGCTCGTCGGCATGAAGGCAAATCGCGACCTATCACGATAGGTCCGAGCCTCAACTGAACAAATCCATTCCCGCGTGTGCAATGCGCGCCGAGGGACAGTGCCATCTGGAATGCTTGCTGGCCTTGGCTGAATGTCCCAAGGGATGAGCAACTCATCTTCGAAACGATTGACCGCGTTGTCTCTCTTCGGAGGCCTCTCCCTTTGCAATCTCAGGAGCCATCTGCTGAGCGCAGCCAGAGCAGCCGGAAGGCCGGCGAAGCTGAGCGGGAAGGTACTCTCGAAACGCCAGATTCGAACCAATTTCCCCACAAAGAAGCTTCAGACAACTCACACATTCCCACTTAACTTTCCAACGGCCCACAAGCAGTGCCTGCGGTCTTTGGCGAGGCAGGGTTCGACGGCCGCATGGGCGGCACGGGGCAGCGAGGTCCCCCGTTTCAAGCGCGCGGGGCGTTGATTTCTGGAACTGGCTTCTCGTGTTGGGCTCTGACTTCGGCAGGTGCGCTTCTAAAGCAGCTGTAGCGATGGATTCTCAAGTTCAAGTGCGGCTCGGGCATGCCAGCATGATGACTTAATAGGGCTTCCTAAGGCCTCCTCAGGGCTTCCATAGGCTTCCCATAAAGCTTGCGGCCCATCCGGAGCCACATGGGTGCCACACGAGAGAGGCGAAAAAATGCATCAACAGAAAGGGGAAGCGCACAACAGAAGACTCACTAGCTACAGCGAGGGCGACAGGCAAATGCAGCATGTGGACGTCGTCGCCGTGGCCCAGCGAGACAGGGAAGCTCGCATCTTTACCGCAAACACTTTCGGTCTGCCACAGTGGTGAGAAGAGGTTCTCGGCGGCGTGTCCTGCGAACTGAAGGCATGGTCATTTGGGCTTCAGGGGCTTCAAAGGCTTCAAAAGCTGGCTGTGACCACCCTACATGGCCACGCACAACAAGCGGAATGAGAACTCTTGGCCTTGCAGCTGATCACAAGATGAGTTTGAAGTTACCACAATGCCTCATCGGGAACCAGCACTCGTACAACGCCAGCCCCGCGGAACGCGCCTGGCCCTCACGACAATTTCATCGTGAGCGAGGCCGCAGGAGCCTCTGACAGCATGCTAGGGCGTGAAGAGTAAGGAAGAGAGTGGCAGTCCCTATGTAATTACTAGCTTCAAGTCCTGTCCCTTCTGACATTCTGAACCTCCCTTTAAATCGCCCAAGCCACCCCCATCACCCTCCCCTGTGGATTGTGCCCCCGACCCGCTCCGGGCGGTGTCGACGGTCCACCGGGTTCAGCGGCGCAGGGTTCGGCAGCAACTCGAAGCCCTCGCACGGGAGCAGCGCTGGAGCGGGATGCCGAACGAAAACTCAAAATAGCACTTCAAAAATCTCCGTGTTTATTTGAATCAAGAAAAGGGCGAAAAGCGAAATGTAAAACAAAAAGCTCCATGTACAAGCCTCCGCTCTTGAGTCGCCACATTCAGTCCCCATCTGTAGCAGCTTGGAGGCCCCCTCACCTATGTCACATAACGTCACGAAACAATTCTGCTGTGTTGCGCTCGTGGTTTGGGAGCCTCTGCTGCCCTGCGGGATGCTGGCAGGATGGCAGCTGATGCCCGAAACCAGACGCCGGGCCCTGCCTCTTCGGTCCGACGGAAGATGGCCAGTGGCCGGCCGTCCGGGGAATACTTGGATTGGGCCCACGGCTTTTGCGCTTGTGATGTGAGCACCAGCATAGGTCCATGCAGCTTTAGTCGTTAGATACAGTTCTTGGTGGTTGGTTGGTTTTCCGAGGTCACCGAATTTAATCGTGAGTTCACTGATGAAGGAGAGAGGCAACTCACTGTCCAGTCTCGAAGCTCATTAGTTGCCACCGGGGCTCAAGTGTCTTTGACAGCATCGAGGGCGTCGTTGTCCGCATGAAAGACCTTGGTCCAACTCACCCAAGAGCTTGGGATGCTCCCCCTTGTGCTAATAGTCCTTAATTTGGGATTGCAGTACCCCTACTATAGTCCCTATGATGGACTGGTAGTATATGGGGGAACATCCCAACCAATAGCCGTCGCTGCGACCGTGGGGCGACGGCGTGGTGCTCCGCATCATGGGCGTTTGCGTCCGCCCAAAAGAGGACCTCAAGGGGGTTCCCCTGCCACAAACCCCCCCCCCCCCCCTCGCTCTTGATCCTCGCGGAGGGGTAAGGGGGAAGGCGAGAGGGCGAGAGGGGGGGGGGGGGGGGGGGGGGGGGGGGAAACTTGGGCTTTCTGAATCGTCTTCAACAGTCTTGGCATCTCTTGGCAACCCCCACAGTGCTCCTGCTTTCCCAGTCCAAAGCCGAATATCAGGTGTCCCGGATTTCGAGCGCAGAATTAGTACTTAGCTACAGTGGCGTGCGAGGTTGCTCCTTACTAGTTCCCCCCGACGACCTCGCTAAAATCGACTTACATGGCTCAGGCTCGGACGGCGTGGGTGGCGCGGAGGCAATGCTAAGACGCCCTGCTGCAAGGTTCTCCAACCCATCAGCTGTCTCCATTCATCTCAAGACGGTCTTTCGTCGTCTCTTGGTATCTGATTATCTGATGTTTCTAACGAACTCCTCCAAGTGGGTGGACTTAAACCACTCAAACGCTTCTTGTCTCTACTCGGCGCCTGGGACGGACTTCGTCCTCTGGAGCCCAGCATGAGGACCTGCAATGGGTGATCGAATCTGCCCGAAAGGGTTTGCGGCCTACAATGTTCAAACCATCTCTAACGCTCACTCGGATGCGTCAACTGCTCGATGACACGCTGGTCTGTGAGAGTTAAGCCAGAAATCCACAATAGCCCACTGCATTGCAACGAAACCTCAGGAGAGCTACCCACCTGCAAAAGGGCGCCAGCTTGGGCCACCCCTTCAAACTTTTCAGTCAGCGCGCGGGAACTCCCACCCTTGGCCCTTTCCTGAAACTATTCGACGGCCTGGGGTTCAGCATTGCGTGGCAGCCCAACAAACTTGCCTTTGCCAGTGGTGGCGGCGGACGTGGCGAGTGAAGTTACACTCTCTGCAAACGGCCTGGCAAAGCGAAGTTGTGAGACCGCCAGGTTTTTCTCAAGCACCACAAAGCCCCCAAACCAACACACAAACACCTCATGCCGATGCCCAGCACCCGCCGTCACTGTCCAGACATCTCAGCGCCTTCCAGGACCCGCCGGGCACCATCGCTGGCCAGCCTTGGTCGTGGGAGCTTTTTGACAACAGATGCGATGGCTTTCTTCGGCAGCTCTCCCGGCATTGCCGCTGATTTCTCAGCTGATTTATTTGACTCCTTGCGTTCTTAAGGCCGCGCAACGCACATCATCTAACATCCGGCAGGGTGCAATCTAAGTCGGGGCGATGGCACGTTCCGAAACTTCGCCAAGGAAGAGGCTGCTGGGCGCAGCAGTTTGCGCAGGCATGCGCCCAGGTGCACAAACCCCGGCTCAGGCAGCCGGCGCGTTGCCTTTACAACTACTGGCGCTGAAAACCTGAATCAACCGCAATGCTAGCTGCTAGTGTAAGTAACAATACTTTCCCAGTCTCTAAAAAAAGTAAGAGGTCGTCCAGCAAAGTAGGAGAAGGCCCGCTTGGTACCCCGGCGACTGCCGACCGTGGACGCATCTCGCCGGCGCGCGCTGCGCTGCGGCCACAGGTGCGCCTCACCTTTAAGCCGGCTCAAAAAACAAGACTCCCCCCAAGCGAGCAGTGGGGTTCAGGGATCAAGTAACTTCATTAGGCATGGTTACAGGTAGGTAAAGACTGCAAGGCGACCTCGGCAAGACTCCGCTGCTTTCGGCGGCGCCAGTCGCGGTCTCGGCGGATGACCTCTGAGAAGAAGGGGCACTCACCCTTTGACGAGCTCTAACTGGTTCGAACAAAAACAAGCACGCTGTAACGATGATGTTGCTTATTGTCGACGCCCCAGGGAGAAAACTTGATAACATGTTAGTCCATTGCAGTTGAGGTGTTAACCAGGCGAGGATATCCGTTCCCATGCATGCTCGCCGACGTAAGGACCAGGCCAGGCGCCCATCGTCCTGAATCGGGTCCTGTCGATAGAAGGAAGCAAGACGCCGCACGACATGAGGTTTAAACTGTCTAAATTCTGGTTTTCTTATGCCTAACTTTTGGGATAGAATCCCGTTTAAAACGGACCCCGAAGTGGCACCTGAATTTAGAAGAACGCCAAATAGTGGGCAGCGCGTGCCCCCGTAAACTTTTCGAGGCTTTGGCGCAAACATCTCAGGCCCAGAACGACTCTGGAGTCCAGGACATCTGGATGTAAACCTCTCCCACTGCCCCCAACCCACCTGGCAATCCGCAATCGTCTGTCGCACGCTCTGCAGAATGCTCTCCTGCGGCAGGGCCGCACAATTTGTCTACAGTTCCGCAGCCACTCACTAGTGCACTAGAAGGTGCCTTCAGGCAATCATCCCTTACCCACGTCATTGGCGGCAAAAAGAGCACGTCAGTCCTGCACCATGTCTGGCAGCGGCGACAGGGACTTCCTGTCTGCTATATTTCGCGCAACCGCTACTGGAGGAGCTTTCAAATACAAGGACAGGCCGAGGCTGTAGTAAAGAGTGCTGTAGCAGAGACTGCTGACAGCTCGTCTTAAGTTCACCTCTACTTGTGAGCCTAATATCTCTAACAGAGGCTGCAAAGGTCCCGACAGGCCCGAAGCCTGAATGCTGAACGGCCACACGTACTCAAACCACTCGAGCCTCGACATGAGGTAGAAGTGGGCCACCATTGAGGTGACCTCGGAGATTCTGCTTAGGTGGGTTTAGGGTTTAGGGTGGGAGGTGCACATGAAGGCTTCAGCAGGTAGCTGCAGGACCAAAGCAAAGGTCGGAAGTTCGGTCGAAGCACCGACACCTCCACCTCGGAGGTGTAGCTGCAACCTGCAGATTGGAGGTGTGGTTCTGACAACTGTCCTGGACTCACGGGTGCGTGCAGTGGGCAAGCAGAGGCTTTCAACGGCTTCCAGCAACAGAGGCATTGCACATCACTACGTGAGGGGCAATCAGTATCCTCTGTATTCCTGTATCCGACATGACTTATAGCAAGCCACCACAGCACACCGAAGCGGTGAACTCTCGAAGTCAGGGGGCTGCCACGGCCAGAAAGGATCGCCCCGATGCCAAAGGAGGATCCTTACGGTAGCATCTTGCCACGGCAAGCCCTGTCTAAGCGATGCAGAGCGTGAGCTGCCGTATCCATGAGCCACCCCCCCATTCACGTACATTTTCCGTTCAGCCTTCCTGGGGTTCCCACATTGACCCAAACCCCAAACACTAAACCCTAGACGCTGCAACGCTCAACCCCCAACCCTCAAACCCTCTTCCCTCGAAACCCGATCTACAACCCTCAGAACTCCTCACAACCCTATCTACAGTCCCTCAGAACTCCTCGCAAGCTCTCGCAAAACCCTCCCCCTAAACCCTACACCCTACACCCTACACCCTAAACCCTAAACCCTAAACAGCTTTCAAATCCCCCACGGATAGGTGTCGGACCTGGGACCAACTCCCGCACCTCCAGCTTGGCGCTGGTCAGGAGGTTCAGCCGCCCTCGGCAAGAAGCCGAGGTTTTTTGGTGTTTTTTTGGGTTTTTTGGGTTCTTTTTTGGGTTCTTTTTTGGGTTTTGTTTGGGTTCTTTTTTGGGTTCTTTTTTGGGTTCTTTTTTGGGTTCTTTTTTGGGTTCTTTTTTGGGTTCTGTTTTAATTAGGAATGCGCTTAGGAAGGTTGTAGGGTTATAGGGTTCTCGGGTTTTAGGGTTTTTAGATGTTTAGGATCTTTTCGAGTTTTAGGGTCATCTCCTACTTGGAGTTTCTCTGTTTACTCAAAAATGGTTATATTGCACCGCTATGGTTCTTGTCCAAAGCCAAGACCCTCGGGAAGGAACCAGCAACACAGCATGCAACACCGTGCACCCGCGCGAGGATTCACTTATCCGATGTCGACCTCCTTTCCCCTTTTTGTCAAGTGATTGCAGGGTCTATTGTACCTGTAACCAGTTAGACACCCAAGAAATGATAACTAACAGCAAAAGACAACCTCTAGGCCATCATGTAGATGATGCCGAGTATTTGCCACCCGGACCTACGACTCAGTCCACTTCCCCGAGGGGGCCTTCGGTGAGAATGCGGCAGCGATGTGGGCGCTCTCCTCGCCGGAGCACGGTGCAGGCGTAGTTCGCGGAGCCTCGAAGGGAGCTTTCTCGGTAAAAAGGAGTGTAGAGTTGGCTGGTCAAGTATTATAGAATGGGCCCAATCCCGAAAATCCCCCCCTCTGTATGTGAGGAGTATTGTGATGGTGTCTGTTGAGGCAGAAGTAGTGAATGGTACTAGCAGGGGGCTATGCCTACCGCTCTAACTGCGAGCTGGGTCGCCGGTCTCGAGGGTCATCAGTAACATCTCCAACTCGCTGGCGCCTTCGACGTTGAATCTGACTCCAGTGGCTTCCCCCCCCCCCCGAAGCCCGCTTGCTACGCGATCTGTCTCAAGCTGCGCATAAAGGTGCACAGCAGCGCATAGCATGCCATTTACGCCGTGGCCATGGGGCGCGGAGCCATCTCTGAACCAGGCCAAGCGACTGCACTCGGAGAGAAAGTTCAAGGAGCGCAGCCGAGATGCGTTTTCCGAGCACACGTCGTCCTCAGGTTCCCCAGCTTGGCAGCATTTTCCACTGGAGTATTTGGGAAAAGACCTAGTCTGCTGGTGCGCACAGTGCCACACCTTCTGCAAGACCTCCATGTACTGCGGCGTGCTGAAGCGCAGCACCAGTGACCTCTCCTGTCACTTCACTTGTGGGCTGCTGTCACGAGCTGCCAATGCCACATTCCCATGAATGCCACTGCAGGTCCTGTGCCACAGCAGTGGTCCAGCGCACAGTGCTAGACCCCCTAAGTCAGCAGCGAGTCAGCAGGAGCTGAAAGAAAAGTTTCGCACTCTGCAGCATTCTGCAAACCATGTTCTGTCAAAAAAACCTGCCAAAAAACATTGGCCTAGTTCCCGTGCATCCAAAAAGAACTTCTAATACACAGGCCTGACCCGAAGTGCCGCATATCATGCAACTTATCGCGACCACGAAGCCGATGGTTACCACCGTCCCAGCCGTCGCCGAAGGCGCGGCCGTCAAAGATGCTTTTGGCGAAGACGCGGACGCCATCTGAGAGATTCTTTTGCGGGGTGGGGGGGGGGGGGGGGTAAGGGAGGGTGAAAGGGGGGTTGTAAGGGGGGTGTAAGGGGAGGAGAGGGGGTAAGGGGGGTAAGGGGGGGTGCAGGAGGCGGGCGTATACTAGGGTACACTAGCTTGGAAATGCCCACTTTCGGAGAATCTGTAAACCATTCGAGCACGCTGGCCTGAACCCTCCAGCGCCCGCTCGATGGTCACGGACCCGTTGAGCACAACATACCTTGGCCAGATGTTGCGGTGCACTCGAAAACACGCTATTACAAAAGCATTCTCCCCTCAGAATGTCAACAATGGAGGCAGCGCAACAGCGCTTGGTGTTGCCAAGAGGCACATAGCCGACTGGATCACCATCCTTGTAAATCATTGCCTCACGTGCTTGCAAGGCAGTGGAAAACAAGCGCCAGGAGAGGCTGGTGGAGAGCCCTTAGCAAATTCTTCGCTCTTGCACGGCAAAGGAAACTAGCATCAGGCATGTGGGGGTTTACGAAATTAAAGGTACCTTCTTGGGGTCCTCATAATCAGGGGATCCCCTATGTTATGATATTAGGGGGCACCTCATTGAGGTCCTCACAATTAAGGGGGTGCCCCTATGCTTGGAACACCCATGTGCCAGGCGGCGCCAAGCTCCACGTCCAGGAACTCCGCGTGCATCAGAAGCTCCAGAAGCTGATCTTCGGAGAGCCTCCAGAAGGTTTAGGGTTTAGGGTTTAGGGTTAGGGTTTAGGGTTTAGGGTTAAGCCCCTACTGACTCCCTAGCGGTTCCTCCACAACTCCCACAAAAATTCTCTTGCAGGATGCGATGAAGGGCTTGCAGTTCGGGAGGTAGGGGGGAATTCATGACGCACAAATGTCTGCAAGACTCTCATACACCACTTCGACCTTCTCAACCGACCCTTGAAGCCACCTCAGCCACCTCCCTGGGACCCTTTGAAGGCCCCCTTTTCAAGGCCCTGTCTGAAGGCCTCCTGAAGAAGTGCATCGTCTTGACGTGGTGAGCCAGGCGACTTGCTTGCTGCAGCGTGTAACCTCAAGCCAAGGATTTCAAGAGCTCGAGTTGCCCCCGCAAGGTCTTCAAAAAGGGCTCCCATGGCCTGGCTTCGCTGCTTTAAGCCCAGCCGCCGTCAGATCCCCGCGCCACCAGAATGCGCTGGACCTGCTCGTCGACAGCTGAGTCGAGGCTTCATTCTTGCGATGTGTCCATGGTACTACAGGGTAGCTTCTTCCGGAGCAGAGTTCCAAGGCAGCATTTGCCTTTTCAAACTTCAAGTCACGTGGTCTTTTAGATGTACTAAGAGCGTCTCCCGCAAATTCCGACCTCAAAGAGCTCAGCGGCACCGAGGGCTGCCTGCTCCTTGCAGGGCGGGTGAGTTGAGAGGGGGGGAAGGGGGGGGGGGCAGCTCGAAGGCCTTGTGCTTCTTTTTCATTTCCACCCCCTTTAAGGGAGGTGCGCACCACGTGCGAGAGAAGCGTGCGATGCTGTCGTCTACACGCAGATTTTCGAGGCTCAAAACATTGGGTTGACAGCCTCCTTCTTGCCAGAAGCCTGGGACTCGGCACCTGAAAGAGAAGCGCTTTGTTGGGCCAGGAGAAGCAGGGCCTTTGCAATGGGGGGGGGGCAAGGCTACGATGCTAGATAACAAGAGTCGTCTGCTAGTCTACTGTCAGGGTTTAGGGTTTAGGGTTTAGGGTTTAGGGTTTAGGGTTTAGGCTTTAGGGTTTAGGGTTCAGGGTTTAGGGTTTAGGGTTTAGGGCCCTCAGAATAGAATCATGCAAAAACATTCCACTCTGGGCACCTGGTCCCGGGACAGATCACCCCGACAGCTATACTTCTTCGGCGAATCAAAGTTGATGGGGACATACCCTGAGTCGCCTAGCCCTCTCTACGCTCCACGAAACGAACCCTAAACCCTAAACCCTAAACCCTAAACCCTAAACCCCTACTAAACAAAAACAAGCTACACACCGCTGAGCTGGGCCGAGGAACCGAGGCTATCTGCCGTGGAGGCGAGAACCGACGCCTCTGACATGGTGGACTCCGGCACGGGTGCACCTTTGGCCAAATACTGGCGCTTTTAAGGTTTGGAGGGGGGGGTTAAGAGAAAGGGTACTGCAGCAGAGGGTATACACGGATGAGTTGTAAGGCTTGTAAGGTAAGGTTAGGATTTTGCGTCGGGTTTGGTGGTTTGCTAGGCTTCAGTCTCTATGCTACGAAAGGCCCTTCGAACCGCGCAAGCCAACGCCTGCGGGTAGTGAGTCGGTTCTAGTTATGACCAAATGGCGCTTGCAGCTGCTTGCATTTCGTTGTGAGAATGCTGCCCAGGGACCCAGTTGTAGGTCCAGGCGGATTTGCGTCAAGAGCTGTCCTCGGCCCACAACAAGTGACTGAAGCAACTTCACATGGAAAGCTGCCGAAAAAGAGTGTAATTACCCAAAAACACGGAGACAATAACCTAGAGAACTGCCAGTACATCCCTGTTCCTCAAAACTCATGTACGGAACCATATATGCCTACTCCACAAAAAGGATCATGATCTAGAGAACTCACCACCTCACCGCGGAACGGCCATAGTTGCGGTCACAGCCGCTGGCCACCTCCAAGTTCCCAATTTCGAAGGGGCCTGTCGGGTAAAGCTTACGGCCACGGGCTTAAGTTGTAGGATTCAGGGTTCTTTGTCCCCAGGGCGGGGGGTGATCAGCTTGCCACCCTCAATTGCAAGGAAAAATGATGAGGACCCAACGAAGCCCCCGTTTTGATTTTGGCCCATCTTTGAGGTCTGAATCTGAGCCGCTCCTCCTCAAGATGTTTCGGAGCCTTTTTCGGCACTGGAACGCAGACCATTCCAAGCTGAAGAACAAAACAGCCCTTCAGAGCCCATCCTTCCTCGTCCCTTCGGCCTCCCTTTTCGTCAAGGCAGCCCATCCGAACTCGAAACCCAAGAGCACTCCAACACGTCATGAAGGGCCCTTGTGCGATGATGTTTCCAATTTCCCAAGGGCCCCCTCTTCGTACCCCGCAACGAAATGTTTGTGGCAAGACGGGGGCGAAAGAGGTAGCAGCAAAGGCTCGGCGAAGTAAATGTGCGTGTAGTCTGTAGTACTACGTCAAGAGCGGGGGGTTTAGAACAACCCTCATGTGTAGAATATCGTCATTGCTTCGGAAGTTGGCATTCCCGGATGTTGCCCGTGTAGCTGCGCGGAAGACTTTGACATGCCTCGACCCCCGCTGGCCTTCGTGCGGGGTGTCGATGCTCAGCCCCGAGGTGCGCCGCGAGCCGCTGGAGACGCGCCGGCCGAAGGACCCGAAGGTCTCGCCCAGGTCCTGCGGTGTTGTCATGGTGCCCTCCCCTCTCTTTACTTTTTTACTCTTTAGCTTGACTCTTTCTTTCAAGCACCTTGTCCCTCTGAGTCCCTCTAAGCCCCTCCAGTCCCTCGAAGTCGTTGGCCAAGTCCCTCTAAGGGCCTCTAGTCCCTTCAGCCCATTTGTCCTCCGTTTGGTCCAACTTCAATTGCAAACCAAAACACCCTGCAAACAGCCCCCCCGCCCCCCCTCGAAGGAAGTGGTAAACGAGAAGCCTTCAGAAGCCCAATTTAGGCTCATGGGCCAGCCTCTACCAGGATGGTGGGATGGCGGAGAGTCCGCTCCATGGCTCAGCGCAGTGGCAGCCATGAGCAGGGCGCTACAAGGCTTACTACAAGGAGTGGATGCAAAAACTTCACGTGGGGTTGACGTCCCTAGGATGCGCACGCCAAATTGAACTATCTCCGCTCAATATGTGTCTTGGTTGGCCCGAGAGCGCCGGGAGGGTTTCAGACACTATCACCTTGCATGGAAGTCTATGGGCTGCTCAGATGCACTTTTGTTGTACCTCTATCGTTTTCGACATCACATGTCCCGCGAACAAGTCCACACAACGTCTTCGCTTGCTCGAGTGCATCGCGAATAACTTGCGAAGTTTGCTTGCTCAGCTGCCAACTCAAGTCGAACGGCGCTTCTGTTTCAGGAGCCCTCTGCTTGTGGTGTTACGCGAGTAACATTTGAAAGCCCTACGCGCTACCCTGAACCCTACCCTGAACCCCAAAACCTGGTTTGACCCAGATGTCCACACGTGGCTAGAGAAAAAACTGTGCAGGGCTAAGAGCCTTGTTTTTTTTTTTTTTTCAATTGCGTGGCTGTTGAACTCAGGCGCGGTTGAGATCTCGCAGCAGCGCCTTGTCACAGGCCTTGTCACAGAGGTGCTTTAGTCAGCGCGTTAATCAGCGGTTCGGCTGTGTGTGGCCCAGAAGGGAACTCAAAACTTGATTCTACAATCCGACTTCGACCCACAAGGGGTACGCGCGCAGGGGAGTCTTAAGCTGCATAAGCTGAGGGTTCAGCAAGTCATTGCGGTGTAGTCGCATCACCTACATTGCAAAGGATTGCCACAGGAGATCCCCGGTGAATCAAAAAGTTCTGCAGGAAGGTCGCCAAATGGAGCGAACATCGTGGCAAGAGGGAGGAGCAGGAAACGCAGAAGCAACAATTACAAGCCATCGACTACAAGAAGGCTTCGGTTGCATCAATTCCGCTGACATGCCGTTATGCAAGGAACGATGGGCTTGAATGTCTGCTGGCAAGCCACGACAAATTCAAACTCAATCGCACGAAGCAGGCACGGAAGCTTTTAACTGGTAGTAAACAATAAACCACAGAGTGGCACAGGTTATTCAGGGACAGGAACCTTGGAAATTGAAAACATGGACCCTTCTCAACAGTAACAACGTCCACTTGCTGGAGTCCTTGTGTTCCTGTGACGGGAATACGCTGACACTCGTGGAGTGATCATTCTTGGGGCACTGCCTTAGCAGCTGGGAGAGGTCCGTGTTCCGGATGCAAAGTCAGCTTTTAGGTGAAGGGCCTGCTGCACAACGAGCTTGGCATCAACAAGACACGCTGGGACTGGTAGAGCGAATATGTACACAAAAGTCGGGGCTTGGAATTCGGGTTGAAGCGGTTTCTTTGACGTCAACACACATCAAGAACTCCAGATTCTCGGCTTGCACATTGTGCCAGTCCTGACTCCGCCCCATCGGGAGGCAGCTGAGATGAGCCGAGACTCAAAGCCTTGTGGGGAGGAAGATCTTGTCTGAATAGGAATGTCCATCATGAAGAGCAGGGAAGATAAAACGCATGGACACCAAACTTACAGCCCTTTTTGAACCTTGTCAAAGCCTTGCAAGATGCCATTGACATCCTATTGTGGTAATCGAAGAAAGGATCGAGCCGGTAAGGGCCCAGCTCTCTCGGTGTCCTTCCCGGCCGGGCAGGAACAGCTGTTTCAAATGCTGTGCGCTCGGGGCTGGTCGAAATTGGGCGTTTGGGCTGCAATGCTTGGGGCCAAAAACTCAGAAGTGTCTCCAGCCACTTTAGGCATACGGGCACACAGGGTAAGTCTGTGGAATTTTTGTTGGGGTCTAGACCCGAATGCCACAATGCCACGTCATTCCAAACGATCCCACACACACTTCCACGCAAACTGCAAAAACACCCGCGAATGCCGCACTTCAACCTGCAGGAACACAAGCTCTCACGAAGTCCTGCAACATGCACATACAAGCCTTGAACGTGCGCTCCCCTCGAGGAGAACGTGGCGCCACCTACAGAATGAGCTTGTAGTATGACACATGGTTGACATCCTGGATTGCAGTCCAGTGAAGGTGCAGTTCCGCGTGCCCTCCGAATACACTCATGCAACGGATGTATCGATTACATACGTTCCTGCACCACATCACAATCATCCTCACGAAGCCTCAGTTCATCAAAGGAGCCAATCCGGTCCCAGCACTGGGCATGTGCAAGTTGCGCTACAGTTGCATTTGAGCACTGCCTTCCCTGACCCCATGAGCCAACTTCCCCGGAGAAAAGACCAATAAAACAGTGACATGGGTTGAGTCTCGCACGTCGAGATGCCAGGACCCCTATCCCGAGGCATCCTAAGGCATCTTGAGGCACCCTCGCATGACATCCACCTTTGTCGGCTTTAAGCCAAGGCCTTAAGCCAAGATTGAATCCCCCAAGCCTTGTCGACTCCGCGGAACTGGCACCTCTACCTGAGCACATGCTTGCACTAGTAGACCTGTCCGCCGGCTAAGGCCCCGCTAAGCAGCGAGATGGTTTCAAGATTGTTGAAACGGTTCTCAGAATCACGTCCGACCTGTTGTGATGCTGGGTGACACGGCAGTGTTTATTTGGACACGCCAGCGGACTCTACAAGCCGAACGACAGAAGTAGCTTGGCGTGAAAGATCAATTCGGAACGAGGTCATATCCGTATCATCAGATCCACCAGACTGCAACTTGGCAACCAACTCCTTCATGGAAATAAATACTGGGTGCTCTTGAAGCACTGCCTGATCATCTGCCTTGAGCTTCTTGAACTCCAGCTGCGTGGTCAACCAGTCTCTGTCATAAGCCGTGAGCTTGTCAGCCACATCTCGCTCCAAACCACGAAGCTGCTTTGCTGCCCCAGCATCTCCTCGGCGGTTCACTCTTATCCTTGGTTGCCCAGTAACCATCTTACAATAAGTAATAAGGGCACCCTTTTTTTGGGCTGGTTACTTTTCTTGGGAAACCAGAACCCAAAGAAAAAGGACAGAGGGCGCCACTGGGCTACCAAGTATCGTCGTGATAGCGGCACTTTTAATCGAGTCGGCCAGCTGCCGGACATCACGGGCATACTGTGGTGGCAGGGGTGGCACCTCACGCTCGAGCAGCATCTCCTTGTCATCCGCGGACTGCGCGTTCGCCTGCTCTGCTCCTGCTATGATGTAAAGGCTGCTCTGCAGCAGAAGGCGCCTGTTCAGCTGTCTCCTCGACTCCTCGCAGTCATGAGAGGTGCTTCTAGCCAGCAAGAAATCCACGGAGTGATAGCACCAGCAAGATATGGCGATCAGCACAAGCCACTTGCAAGCCCCAGCCATCTGGTCGGACAGGGCAGCAAAAGAATTACGATGGATTATGTGTCAGGCAAGCTTTGCCAGCACATGAAAGGCTGGTGTAGACCTGGTCTAACTGTCAAACTTGAACCCAAGATGTACAGGCCTGTAGCTGCGCCCACAGCTTCATGTGCTCAAGATCATCGTCATCGCAGAAGTCAGGCTGATACAACTTGATCCGCAACTACCTTCTAATGCGCAACACTTGATCCATGTGTCGACGTAGGTTTGTCAGCCTCTACAAAGCGATTAGCTATTGGAGCATCGTGGCTTCTACCACAGGCACCGTGGATCTGCCGGGCTCCCCGACTGGTCCAGCCGCTTTCCACTCATAGCCCCATCAACCCCTTCGGTGCCGATTTGCTGCTGGTGCAGCCATGACCTTCAGGACTCTCTGCAATTCTTGATGCTTGATGCAAAAATAACATGTCGAGCTAAGCTCTCAGCCACAAAAGGAGGCCCTAGCCGCCGTGCCTCTGCGTAGCCCATAGCAGCCATGGCTCACATGATTGCTCAGGCTAAGAATCTGATGGTTAGAGTATATACGTCTCGTGCTCTGAGTTAATCTGGCGACAATGTCCGAGCTTCGCTACCGTGCGCAGGATCGCCCTGCTTGTCTAGCGCAAAGTCTAGCCGGATCCATTGTGCCAAACGGCGTAGGGCTTGCAAGCTGCAGGATTCACGGCGTACTTCGAGGCAAAGAGGCATACTAAATTGACAAAGCTCAACCACCCCCCTTTGCACTGTATAGGGAAATCCAAATCCGAGGCCCTGCTTTTGAAAGCCGTCACATGGTTTTAAGCCGGCGGGCGTGTATCACAACTGCCCCACGCACGTCTAGGAGTGCCGTACATTGCTGCCTGGAGAAACCAAGACGTTGTATGCCTGGTGACAGCTCTCGTTTGCCAGACCGTGCTTGCAAAACACCCAAAACTATCTGGACTCAAAATGCTCCGATAACGTTCTATCGGTGTAGACCCCGAAACAACCGAAAATCATGGCCTTAGCAAGTTGCCGTGTGCAAAAACTCTGCCGGCATATACCCCAAGCAGTGTAAGACCACTTCAAAAAGCTTCCAAGACAACCTGTATAGCGCACGTCAGCAACACGCCAGGAGCATTGCAAGAACACTTCGAGATGACCGTAAGCATGTGCTCCCGCCGTGATCCCGTGCACTCTTGGAGGATTGCGTCGCTCCGCATTGCGACGACGCAGCGGGGACGCAACTTGCTGACATTCTCCTTCTTGGGCTGTTGGGTGGGCTCTCTTTGCTTGTCCATTTCTGAATGATGGATCCCGTGCTCACATGCTCCTGGTGCGGCTCTTGGATGGGGCTTGAAGATTGGGAGTCGAGAGCGCGATTTTTGGCGGCGCTTGCGCCTAGGTCAGAGGTCAGGCGCCCACAGGAAGGACCATCAGCATCAGGCGCACGCACACGCGTTGCAGAGTCCACATGCCAAATTTATCTGCTTTCCACGTCGGAACCCCACGGAGCAGTTCTGATGGAGAAACATCCCGCCAGCAAGACGTTTTGCCACGGTCGAGAGCACTCACGTCTGGTAGCAGGGTCTCGTCGAAATCGCCAGGCCTCGCAGGCTGCTTCGTTGGTTATTCCCCGTTTCAGTACACAAGCCCTTAGGTCACTCGGAAGAAACGCGGGGATGTTTTGCAAGTACTTGACGCAATGTCTCTGCACTCTTTGCAAAAGTCTGATGGTTTCGCTGCTTTCCGTGTCACCTCAACCCTGAATCGGTGGTGGACGAAGGGGCGGAAGCGACGGCATCGCTCGGACCTAAGCCTGCAACGACCGCAGACCCTAGACCCGAAACTCCTGCAAGCCTCAAACCTGCTGCCATGAAGCTCCCACTGATATAATCGTTGCTTGGAGTCTCGGTGTCTCGGTGTTGGAAGGGTGGGTGAGGCCATAATGGGGTGGGAGGTGGGTTGAACGGGGCGTAGAACAGTGAAAGCCTGACTGAGTACGTTTGAAGCCACAGGACGTCCAGGAGCCCCTTGTGCCAGTTGCGCGGGGCCTGAAAAATTGCCTAATTGCCTTTGTCATAGCAGTCTGCCTTAAGCCCTAAACCAGCCCTTTTCTTGCAGGATGTCCGGGCTGTCAGAAGTTTTCAATTGCGGGGGTACCATGATGACTAGATTCGCCGCGGCTTCCTGCGGAAAAGCGTCTGGAACAAGCAGACAATGATCCGGTCTCCTTCCCCCCAACCCAAGCATTTGGAACCCTGGCTCCTTCCCCTACCCAACCCTTCCGCCCACTGAGAACCCCCTGAGACCCCCATGAGACCCCCCTAAAAAAAACCCGTCGAGAGGGCGCCTCCAGGCCGACGTCATCTCCACATCCTGCGTGCTCTGGGCCGGCCTGGCTGCCAAGGCGGCTCGCGCATGCGTTTACAAATACCACTCTGGCACACTACGGGCGCCCTACCGAATTTTCAAGACAGACCATCCCCAATCTAATGGGCGCCCTGTGTCGCCATATCTCACACTTCAAAAAGGTTGCTCTGCCAACGAAAAAGTCTAACAAGACCTAAAAACCAGCCTGAACCCTAGCGCTCTGCCTCTTTCCAGCTTGCCTTACGCGGGCGCTGCTGCAGAGTGTGCACATAGATGTTCTTTAAGCAGGCACGCTCGTGAAACAGGGTATTCTCGACTCCTTAATGCAAGGCCCAACTGTTGGCTGAGATGTTTGATTCCCTTGGGGTGGCCAAGAATAGCCCACGCGGAAAAGACGCAGTAACAGTACAGTTGCTTGTAGCTCGCGCGAATCTTCTGATAGTGGCCCTCATGAAATCCCCATGTGATCAATTACACTGCGCCTGCACTTGCAAGACACTCCGCTTCTAAACCAGTCCGCACATGAGCGGGAGGACTCCTTGCTAGCACGCAGGCGTCAAGACTGAATCGAACACCCCCCTGGCGCACTATCTCGAGCTCGATCTTACGCTGACGTGAAGCGGCAATCTACGACGGACGCCTCGTACTACCACGCCAAGGATCGCGAACACCTCATCACAAGCTGTCAGCCTACATGCAAAAAAAGGCTGGTAGCACGCACGCACGACCCAAAAGCCAACCCCAGAAGCGAACGCCAGCACCCAAACCACGCGCAAATATGCGCAAATCACCAGAGGGTCCAGCGTTGACACTCCGACCTTTCCGAATTTCACCACCCATTGCCCCCATTGCAGCGAAAACAAAACACGCAAAAGCCAGGGCGCCGCTTCTATCCGGGACTTGAGCTCCTCCAGTGTCAGGGCTTGGGGCCAGGGGAGGACAGAAGGAATTCAGATTGCATAAAGGGTGTTCAGCTTGAAGGTGTTTGGAACCCTTGCGGCGAAATACGAAGCCGAAGCAATGTGAAACCAAACATGCCTCCAAGGCTTCAGGTCGACAAGGCTGCACATCATTCGCAGACGCCGAGGCAGAATCAGTTTAGGACGCCAAGCCCCCACCCCCGCCAAAACTACTCTCTTTCCCCAACGTCTGAACCCTGAAGTGAGATGAAGTAAGCCCCTTGGGTGTCTGCTCAACATTCTGCGCGTCTCTTTCCATTCGGCGCCTCAACTCCTCCAGCATCAGGGCTTGGCTTGAAGAGGGCCAGGGGAGGACAGAAGGAATTCAGATTGCATAAAGGGTGCTCAGCTTGAAGGTGTTTGGAACCTTTGCGGTGGGCTTCTTGCGAAATACGAAGCCGAAGCAAAGCCGAGGCTTCAGATGCCCCCCAACTGAGCGTGTTCACCATGGAGCAAAACATGCAATTCACTGATGGCTAATTGACTCTGATCTACTTTGCGTACCTGTCTGCGTACCGAAAACACTGGGCCTTATCCTACCCGGAGTAAGCAGCCATCCGGCCCCAAGAGCCTCGCATAAGCCTGTGAGCCCAAAACCTAGGGTCTTGATTGGATGTCAGAACCGAATACGCAGGAATATGCACGCGAACCTTTTCAAGGAAGCAACTCTCTCCCAGTCCCACCCCAACTGAAAAACAAGCAAGCACTTCAACGAACCTAATAACGAAGGAAGAACAAGTCTAACTTCTGAAACTCAGCGCAACCGGATATAGACCTAGACTAAAAATGTGAACGCATCTTATCGCATCTTCCGAAACTGATGGTTACAGAGCGTGCGCGTGCGAATCGGAAGCCCACAGGGTTGCTGGACTTGCGTGGATTTCAGTAGCCCCAGGCCCAAGGCAGCCTCCTTGCACAAGGCACCCTCGGGGTCGAAATCGCCCCAACCACCTCCAACATGGCCGCCGCATTCCAGTCTCCGTTCTACGGACTCAAACTTCTTCCTCGCCTGCTGCCTCAACCGCCTGAACCCTATAGACATCATCTGAATCAAACTGCATTCTCAACCCTTTACAGACCCTTACAGGCACACCGAGTTTCTCAGCCCTGCTTTGCCTTTACATGCATAACCGCGCAAGTGAACTCTGCATGGCTCGGATCTGCTGCAAGTCGCATGCACCCCCAGCCCAGCGGATTTTGCAGATGGCTACGTGATCTGCCCTGGCGAGTTGTCTTCTGTGTCTACGACAGTCTACCATCCCAGGAGCTGCCAGGAACAACTGCGTCTGAGGTGAGCTGCCGCGACGCCGCTCAGGCCAACGCAATCAATCCGGCGGCGCTGCAAGCAAGAAGCTTACACCCCTGGCAAGACAAATCTAACCTGTAGAACCGCTGTGTAGAACATCGGCAAGCCACTTCATCCACACGTGCTCTCCCAGGCAAGCTGCCCAAATCCAGCTCGTCTCCCCAGCCGTCCCCACCATCTGCATGCAAGATGAGCGGCTACTGGCGAGACTTAAAGGGCTTACAGAACAGGTGCTTTGGAGGCTCTCTGAGTCACATCTGACATGCCGGGGAGTCGAGCCTCGGCCGGCATGCTGGGCCACCTGCTGAAACAGACAACTTTTACAAAGCCACATGTGTCCCCAAGACGTGTCATTGGGCCTACGAATGCGAGATAGGTAGAACCCGAAACAGTCAGCGAATGGAAGGCCGCAGCCAAGTCCCGCTCCGAATTTTCAAGACAGGCCATCCCCAATCCAATGGGCACCCTGTACCGCCATATCCCACACTTTAGAAAGGACACTCTGCCAACGAAACTAGGGAGCCCGAACCGGAGAATTAAACCCCCAAGCCTAACCCCGAACCCTAACATGGAGCCCTAGGACCCAAGACCAAAACTAACCCCCTCATGCCCAAACCCTCCGGACCCAAAACTTAAACTTAAGCCGATTAGCCCTACAGTTCATCACCCTCTCCTGAAGGATCCTAACCCCTGAACCCTAAACCCCAAAATGGTCGAGGCCCACTCGTTCTTGGTAGGGAAGGGATTGGTAGGGCCTGCAATACCCCTGGCCTTTTTGGTGGTGAGTTTTAGGGTTTTGAAATGTTGGGGCTCGATTGTTTTGTGACTATTTTCTTTTTAAGGAGGGGGGGGGAGGGGCTATGAGGATTATTGGGGGTTCTGGGTTTCTAGTTTTCGGGGTTTTTTGAACCCTAGACAATATAGACCCTAAACCTTATACTCCAGACTCTAGACCCTATAGACCCTAGCCACTGAATCCTAAACCCTAAACTCTCTGAAGCCTTTCTGAGTCCCAGGCCTCTTGCTTTTGGGCAGTCGCCTGCGCTGCGACCTTGGCCTTCTCCTGCTGAAGAGGGTTTAGGGTTTAGGGTTTAGGGTTTTGGGTTTATAGGATCAGGGTTTTTAGGGTCTAGGGCTTCTAAGGCTTGAAGAGGGCCAGGGGAGGACAGAAGGAATTCAGATTGCATAAAGGGTGCTCAGCTTGAAGGTGTTTGGAACCTTGGCGGTGGGTTTCTTGCGAAATACGAAGCCGAAGCAAAGCCGAGGCTTCAGATGCCCCCCAACTGAACGTGTTCACCATGGAGCAAAACATGCAATTCACTGATGGCTACTCGACTCTGATCTACTTTGCGTACCTGTCTGCGAACCGAAAACACTGGGCCTTACCCTACCCGGAGTAAGCAGCCATCCGGCCCCAAGAGCCTCGCATAAGCCTGTGAGCCCAAAACCTAGGGTCTTGATTGGATGTCAGAACCGAGTACGCCGGAATATGCAAGGATTTAATATTACAAGAACTCCTAATAAGAATACAATTGTTTTTTCTGCTTTTGCCTCGCGGGAACAATAAAATATTTGATTGGGGGACTTCGTCATAATACTACAAGAGAAACCAGATGTAGAAACTTATTATTTTAATTCGTGCCCCAATTTCAATTGAAATAAAATGGGCTCGCAAAGATTATTAATTTTATGAGATTCCATTTGCAATTATTCTGTGTTATTCTCTGGTACAACTTTCTACACCCTTAGAATTATTATGAACAAAGCATAGGGAAGCTCAGGGAAGTTTACGGCCGTTTAGGGAAGTTTAGGGAAGCTTAGGGAAGTCTCGGGAATTTCTAGATGTCTGTGTCCAGGGTTTCGGGTTCATGGGGCCTTTGTCATGGTGCTGGGACTTTCACTGTGTGGCTGAGAAATGTTGAACGCCCCCAACACCAGCAGCTTCACATACTTCAGTCAGAGTAAGATATATCCATCCATGTACCTAAGCTTTTAAAGGTCGCAGAGTGAATTTCAGGAACCCTTGTCCTTGGGAGAACTGGACTCACGACTCAAGTCGCTTCAAGCATGGAAAAAAGAAAAGTGTTTCTGGAGCATTTTTGCGGAACCTTGACGTCCAGCCCGCATCAGCAAGTACTCTGTAAGCATGACATGACACGGCAGCATGATGTTGTCAGAGTCATGTAACACTTTGGTACTGCAGTGTCTAAGCTCCAAGCGAGGAAACAGCCATCACCTCATTGAGCACCTGATCGAAGTGCATATCTTTGCCATTAGACTCATGACTTTTTCCCTCGTTCTCTCTCGTGACTCTAGTGCTTACAATCAGAGAAAAATTTCCCCTTGACCTATAGCCATTACGCTGCCGCCTGTCGGGGATGGAAACAAATGCCAGCAAAGGCACACACACGTGAGACCACGTTGCACACTGCCATGTGCGACACAGCATGCGACACTGCATGCGACACAGCAGTATACACTCTTAACAGCGGAATTTACAAGCAGACAGCGGGACAGAAGCAGTGACTGGAAGCGACTTGAAAAGAGAACCCTGGGGGCTTTCGCAAATTGTGTATATACCCTGCCATAAATGCGGAACAACGACACTCCAGCCCGGCCTCGTCATGTTTGTCATGTAAGAGCTGGTGCAGAAGTCGCTGGGCTGTGGCATCGGCTGCCAGTCCCATGGCGACAAAAAAAGAGGACGCAACGATGCAGTGCGATATTCTACTAACTGCTTAAGAACCCCGAATCCTTGCTAAGGGTAATATAGGGATGATTATTTATTCGTTTGGGGTTCTTAAGCGAATAGTAAACAATGAAAAGGAAAATGAGGAAGGCTGGTCTGGAGTGTAATGGCGTGTGTGCAGCGGTGTGTTTCAACAGTCAGGATCGTCAGCGCTCGAGCCTGTCTACAGCTGCGCTGCACGAAAGTTGAGCAGGTCTCGCAGAAGTTTATTCCCAGCAGGGTCCCTGTTGTGCCATGCTTTGGGGGAGTGTAAAAACGAATGGAGACGGTACGAGTACACCAATACTCGGGGGACCTGGCATGGCTCTCGGCCTTTAAGTGCCCCTTCGCGAGGTTCAAGGGTGATATTCTTGACACCGCAGCCCTCTCTTCACGGGCTGCCAGTATCCAACGGCCAAAAACATCGAGTGTGTGCAGCCGTAAGCGCACGCCGGATGCGTCGCGGCAGTCAGATCTCGCAGTTTCTTTTTGCACACTCCATGCAGATTCGAGCGCAGCAAGTTGCCTGCCAGGGGTTTTGGGAGGGCTGCTGGGCTTGCAGTCGGCTTTGGAACGCAGTGACGCACTGACGACAACCTACCCCATCGAATCCACTGCAACCGCCGCTTGGCCAGAAATGACCTGAAGAGAAGTACGTATAACAAAGTACCACTTTTCGGACTGTCGCGCAGCAGAATGCTGCCATGCGCCTCTTAGGTGAAGTATCGGTCCTCTCGCCCTGCCAGAAGAGCAGTAGCCGACTGTACATACAGAGAAGCTGGGTACCCAGTCCTACCCCTAGAGTCCCTAGAGCAGCCTGAAGTTTGGTTTGGCACACGTCCCTCCATGAATAGATACTCGATGACAGCTGCATACTCAGGATGCACGAATTCATTGGCAGAACCGAGCACGCAGAGGACAGGACTGAAATCTCACAGGGGGGCTGAAGAGCAAAGTGGAGCAACACACATGCTTTACATGGTTGTGGGGGTTTCCGATAGTAGGAGTACCCGTGTAGAGTTCCTTCTTAACGGGGATCCTACCATTTTCGGTGGTAAAGAGGGTACCCCTGTTCTTATCGCAAACCCGCATATGAGAAAACTGCTTAGCTGGACCACTTGCAACACAAAAAAACAGCTGCGAGCCATGCTCCCCTTAGAACCATAACTTAACATACAATATGTTGAAATATTCCCTTGGACATATGTGTATATATATGTATATGTATATGGGTATATATATATATATGTATATGGGTATATATATATATATACATATAAACCCAGAGATATTTCCTAAGAGGGCTATAGAATGAGCTCCGAGCCTGCCGTGGAACAGAACACGTTGGACTTCAGAGGCATCGCGCCTCTTGCAGCAGCAGCTCGCGGAGCGCTTGCCATGGGATTTTGCTTGGCTTTTTGGGGCATTTTTCTCCCCCCTTTTTTAAAGAACTTCCCCTCTGGGAGGATTGTTGGGTCCTTTGAAGCAGCCTCTTCCCTAAACCCTAAACCCTAAACCCTAAACCCTGAACCCTGAACCCTAAACCCTGAACCCTAAGAGATTTTGCATTTCAGAGCATCTTGAGCTAACTCTGCAAGTCTTGAAAGCCCTCCGGACACTCCTCTCTCTGGACGCCGAGGCGGCGCCGGTGTTGGCTCGGTTCCCGGCCGCTGTCCTTCGAGGCACACGCAGTTTAGGGTTTAGGGTTTAGGGTTTAGGGTTTAGGGTTTAGGGTTTAGGGTTTAGGGTTTAGGGTTTAGGGTTTAGGGTTTAGGGTTTAGGGTTTAGTTTTTAGGGCCTAGGGTTTGGGGCCAAAAATTCTGAGGTAAGGGCATGAAGACTCAGCAGGGTCCCCTCTGAGGGCTTAAAGCCCAGGAGGCATGCCGACCTCTTTTTGTGCGGCAACTGGTAACTGACCCTTTCGGAAATGGGATGCACCAAAACCCTAAACCCTAAACCCTAAACCCTACAGTAAACCCTAAACCCTAAACCCTAAACCCTAAACCCTTGTCCTCAAATTCAAGTACAGTATCCACTGTAAACCACCCCCTGAGCACCAAAAAAAAAAGACATGAAGTCCAATGGCGAAGTCAGCTGCGCGCTCTTCTCAGGCCCCAGCGCTCGCTCTCAGGGGCGGGGCCGAAGACATTGAAGAAGCGGCTCCCTTCCTTCCATGGTTTAGGGTTCAGGGTTCAGGGTTCAGGGTTCAGGGTTCAGGGTTTAGGGTTTAGGGTTTAGGGGTTGAACCCATCCTTGCATCCCATAGATACACACTGCTATGAGCATGGATCCGGAGAAAAGCTGCAGGGGCGCTTGAAGGAGCCCATGAATCCAAAACGCCGAAACCCCTTGTAAAGCTCCCAAAAACCCGGTAGATCTCTCAAATAAAACCCATCGGCATACCCAAAGCAACTGCATCTTAGGATTTATGGTTTTCGGGTCTTGGGCCTCGGAGATCTCCAGGATGGAGGCCGTGTTCCCAAACCGGTAGCCTCAGAGACTTCTAGAAACTTTCACGTGGGGGCCTCTGAGATCTTCTGATCACCCTGTAACGGCTTCTAAGGGACTTTGGAGGGTTTTTGAGGGGTTTCAAGGGTGCGGTGTTTAAAGGTGATTTTATAAGGAGACTCCGATAGAAACCTGAGACCCTCCACTTATAGAGCACTTTGAAAACAAAAAGCTGGCAGGCGTCTTTCTTTGGGGGCATTCCGAAGCCCTAAATCCTAAACCTAAACCCTAAAGTGCTCTTTCAGGATGGCCCCCCAAGCAAGGATGTCGGTCAAAAAAAGAGAGAGCGGGTGAATAGCCCTCGGTTGCACTCAGCGAAGACGACGAGGCATACATTTGTAGGCTTCGACCCCGCGTTTCAGCGTTGGGGTGCAGAGGGTCCCTGTGGGGTGGGGGGAGGGGGGGGGGATCCCATTCTGGATTTTGTAGAAGGAGGGTGCCGTTAACCCAATGCCCCGCAGCTAGGATGAAAGCTCAACCGGGAAGCTGAAGGAAATCAGGCAGAGGTAGCCCGGTCCTAACAAACAAATGTCTCTCTGAGCAGAGGCGCAGTAGTTTGGAGCGCTCCAGACCGTGGAGAGCGTGTCGTCAAAGAGCACCTGTTCAGGGTGTAAGGTTTGGAGCCTTCTTGGGAAGGAAGGGGACACAACCAAATGTGAAACCCGGCCCTTGCATGTACTTCTACGGGGAATGGGGATCCCTCACAAAGCCCTACCATGCCCTACCCACACCCGGACAACTCCCCCTAGTAGCCCCACGAACGAAACGCATCTTCGGGCCGGTTCTCCCCGGCATTTGGCTATCCATCCCTTGCCGAAACTGTTTTTTTTGCATTTTGCATGGGGCACCAGCTACTCGCCCGGCCCTGTCTGCGCGTTCCCTAGTTGCGGGCCTGGTAGCCTGCCATGCAGAGCTGGTGGGCGCGCACGATGTGGCTGAGCTGGTTCACGTGGAGGAACCTACTCGTGTCAGCACGGACATGACGACCGATTAGGAAGCAGCCGACCCTTGTTGACCCAACCCGCATTCCTGACTTCATCTCTGAAACTGTGGGAGCTTGTGTGGCGCCAGCCAATTATAGGTTCGCACTGCGAATAGGAAACACGGAGTTAAGCCCAAGAGAAATCAAGATGCTTCCTGGAGACCAAAAAAAGGCTCTGAAGCCTTCAAGATCCTTCAAGCATGCTGGGAAATGCTGGGAGGCCCGGCTTTTGGGCCACATCCTGGCCGAAGACGTAGCCAGCACCCCGTGGCGAGATGACCTGGGGGTCAGACAAGAAGCGCCCTGTGAGGCTCCAAAAACCCAGGGGATCTGGGCCACATACCACAGAAGAAAAACGAAAGACATGATGACTAAATGTTTGAACCTACAAAGACATGCCAACTCCATCCAACTCCGGTCATGTGCAGGTGCTGCGAGTGCTACACAAGTCTGATGCCGAGCCTCCTGCTGCCCGAACCCCAAACCCCCAAACCCCAAACCCTCCTTGGCTCGCCTTGGTCTTCCCCCCCCCCTGGGGCCCCGGCAAAACCACTTTTGTCCGGATCAGGGTCCGACCTTAAGTTCATGAGTTTCCCTACGACCCCTCCTCTATACTACCCCCCCCCCTTAGCGTCCCCCCTTAACGAACCTTAATCCTACCCCCCCCTTTGGGTTCCCCCCTAAAAGAACCTTAACTAGGCTTACTTGGAGGGGGTAGTATAGAACCCTAAACCCTAAACCCTAAACCCGTATTAGAGGAAGGCTTACTTGGAGGGGGTAGTATAGAACCCTAAACCCTAAACCCTAAACCCTAAACCCGTATTAGGGGAACCCATGAGAAGTGCAGATGCAACAGGACCCCGCTGGGGAACTTCGAGGCCACAACAGGCGCTTCAAGTTCCCTCCTGTGGTTGGGGAATCAACAGGCTGCCCTTTCCGGCTTAAACCCTGAGCCCTAAGCCCTAAACCCTAAACCCTAAACCCTAAGCCCTAAACCCTAAACCCTAAACCCTAAACCCTAAACCCTAAGCTACCGGAGCAACTGCTAAGACGCAGATCACACAGTCGGAGCTCTCAAGGCCCGAAACCCCTGCCAGCCCAAAAGCAGGGCCCCCTTGCCACACCAAGTCCGCCAGCGGCCCGTCGTGCGGGATCTCCAAGAACCGGTCCAAGAGCCGGATCTGGGACCAAGGCCGGCTCTTCTGTGGGTTTAGGGTTTAGGGTTTAGGGTCTAGGGTCTAGGGTCTAGGGTTTAGGGTTTAGGTTTTAGGGTTTAGGGTGATTCTGGGGTTCTTCCGAGAAGGGCTGCCGAGAATCTCTGTTTCTTCTTTCTTTCGGGCGCTGGGTTTTTTGTTGGGTTTAGGGTTTAGGGTTTAGGGTTTAGGTTTAGGGTTTAGGGTTTAGGGTTTAGGGTTTAGGGTTTAGGGTTTAGGGTTTAGGGTTTAGGGTTTAGGGTTTCATAGCCCACCTGGTCTAAGTGATGGATGGAGGGGGAGAGGCCGCCGTGCACTGCGAGCATGCTGCCACCGATCTGCGCAAGGGCACATCTCGGATGACTGCGGCTTCTGCGGCAACTTTCCCAGAAGCTCCAGTAGTTCATACAACTCCCCCCCTGCGGATCCCCGGAGAGCACTTTGATCCCGCTTCAACCACTTCAATTCCCAGCATCTTCAAGGGATTCGCGCCTACGCCCAAATCCTCCGCAAGAGGCAAGCTCAAGCATTTCTGCTGTGCGACATCCAAGCGCAAGGTCATGGTGAGACATGATTTCAAGGACGGGCGTCACCCAAAAGCTGGCTGTGACATCCTGAGAACAGGACGTGCTGTACACATCCAGCTACACCAAAGCCGCCCTTGGCGAATTTTCTTTTTGGAACGCTCGGAACTGGTCAGGCTCCCCTCCGCGACACGAAGTAAGCCAGTAGACAAGCATGTCGATGCATGCCAGTTCTTGGCACTTAGCAGCTATATTCTTACGCAGGCGAAGACATCGCGGAAGAATGCCTTCGTCGACGATTGGAACTCATGAACAGCATCACCCCATGGAGCAAGTCTTCAACCTCTTGAAGCCATTAAGGATACTGATTTGGGGCTTGTTCGCAGAGAGTTCCGCACCGACGAAAGCGGGCGTTCGCACCTTCATCCGACTTCGACCTATGGCTGGCGCCCCTCTCAAAAGCGGGGTCGGCACCACCAAAAAACTCCTACTACGCCTACTACCCAAAGCACGGGCTTCCCAACTTCTTGAGAGCCCGTGGCAAAAAGTTCAGTCAGAGGCACAGAAACCCATAAAACTCCTCAGACTTCCAGCGTCGCCATCGTCTGCCTCAAAGCATCCGGACACCATGCTTCTGAGGCTGTGCTGCTGCGGGTCCGGAAGCTTGAGCCATCTAGCACTGTGGCCTAAGCCCACTCCATTCTAGAGCAATTAGCTGATTGAAGTTGCCAGAATCAAGAAGCCGTCTTTACATCCCCATGATGGTAGCTCATTCTGAGTTCCTGAACGCCCCCAAAGCTCAAAGAAAAATCATCTGGAACGCGCTTGGCCCTCGGCCCAACCAGCAACTCTGGCTGCTGGGTTGTGATGGGAGTGTCGCACGATGCGGTGTCGCCTTATGGAGAAACATCCCAGCAGTCGACCGGAAACCCCAAAAACAAAGAGCCTTCGACGTCACTCCGTGTACCTTCTGCTGCGACCTTTATAATCTTAGACTGTACTATGAGACAGTACTAAATAGTATAGATTTACGTTATACATGAACTTGCGGCTTCGACTTCCAAAAGCACCAAGAGATCGGGAAACCCAAGCCCAACGAACGCAGGGGCCTCCAATTGCAAATGGCAATTGGCCTAATTTGTTTCTCTCATTGTCTATACGTATATATATATATACACTTATGTATTTGTTTATATTTATTTTGTATTTAGTTAACCTGAGACCCACACTAACACGACAAGACGTGAGTGTATGAATGAGTGAGCGAAGTGAACCTGTGAACAAGGGAGCGAAATGAATACAAGAACGCGGTAAGAGAGTGAGTGATTACAACATTATTATTAAAATCGCAAGTTCACGCGCAGATTTCAATAATAAATTGTATGAGTTTTCATGCGCACATATAGTTCTTTTCATTCGTGCGCACCCTTGTAATACTAATAATAAGACGTAGAGAGCGCAATGAAGATATGAATGTAGCGCATGAATTACATTATACATGCGAACGAAGAAAAAGCCCCTTAAAAATACTAAACTACAAGTTTACGCGTGAATTTAGTATATTTAATGTGGGCGTTTTGCACGGGCTAGTATAAAGTCGCGCGTTCTTTCACGCCTCGCCTTTTATTTATTAAATTAGCTCGTAAATAATATTATATTGTATGTGCTGCAAAAGACCCACTAACACTACTGTATTTCGCTGGGTCGTTTAGCGAGCACCAGGACACAGCTTATGATTGAGGGTTTTTCCAGTAGAAATCTCTTGTTTACTTCGTTCAATCGCTAATTTAATTTACGCACTACGTTCTTTGCATTCACTTCGTTTGTCATGACAACGCTCTATCACTTCGTAGTATTATTAAATGTGTGAATGAAATGAACACGCCCCCCAAAATATGACGTTCGTTCGCTCTCTCACTTCACTTCCTCGTTCACTGCGTTCTCTTCACAGTATTAATATTATTAATGGTGTGTGAAGAGAGCGGAGTGAGTGAATAAGCGAATGAATAAAGTACGAAGAGAATAGTAAAAACCAAGGTTGACCGTGTACTCGCGAATCATTCTCTGAGTTCAACCGCCAGTCAAGGTACGTCCAACATTCCCCTTTCCTCACATCCTTCTTCTAATCTCACAGCCAGGCAAAGGACAACTTGCTTTGTTCGTGTGTTTCGTTCGTGCGTGAAATGAATTCATGCGCTCACTTGTTTCACGCGTTCACTTATAATTCTATTTCACTTACTCTCTCCACTTTATGTTATAGGGGCGCGCGTAAACAGAATTAAATGAGCGCACAGACTACGACGAGGGCCAGGCATGTGTCCGGCTTCGCTCCCGAAGCGCCCAAGAAGAAGGGCAACCCCTTCCTGTGCTTAAGAGCTTGCGGGGGTTCAGGGCTTTAGGGTTCAGGGTTTAGGGTTTAGGGTGCAGGTTTCAGGGTTTAGGGTTCAGGGTTTAGGGTTCTAGACTTGAAGGGTTTTGCAGAGTTGCAGATTTGTTCGAGGCAGCACGTGGCATGTGCATGTCCTGTTTCGTGCGGCCACTTCTCAATCTCTTGGCCCCTTGAAGCGCCATTTGTATTTACAAATGCGCCTGCCCACATTCTGGGTCATATTCATTGATGAGTCAGGGCCTCAACAAACTTCCACACATGAAGCCTGAAGAAAGAGCCACAGCCTGCCTGGGCATGTCGAAGCGCATGCCGCTGAAGATGTTGGTGAGAACCACGATGAGGAGAAGGACCTGAACAAAAAAAACAGCCCTCGCGAGAACAAAACCACAAAACACAGCTCTGACTGGAATGATGCCTGAACCCTAAACCCTAAACCCTACGTGTATGATGTCATAGATCCCCGGTGCAGAGCTGAGACCTGCCTGGCACAGTACATGCCTGGCACCAAGTCTGAATACGTTCAACACAGGGATTCCACTCTCCCAAGGCATCCTTGGCCCTCTTCTGGGCATCTGCATAAGGTTCCGTGTAGAGTCGAGTGAATTCAAGCAGGCTGCCGATCTCAAGATTGAGACAGTCCGTGCAGTAGCATCTGAGATCTGGGCCACTCCTGCCGATAGGACGGCCGAGGATGAGATCATCTTCTTCACGTCGCGCCTCGGTGGCACACACATCGGGCTCTGTCCCCCCAGGCCCCCAAATACCCTGAATAAGCCCCCTAAGCGTAAGCCTTTGAACCCCAAAAACTTTATACTTTATACCTTAAACCCCTTTTGTCCCAAACCCCTCCCCCCAAACTTTGAACCCTAAAGCCCCCCCCAAAAAGTCCTACAACCCCTCCTAAGCCTCCTAAGCCCCTATTGGTTGGAGAAAGCGCCGTCTGAGAACTGGACTTCGAGGTGCCGGTGGGGACCGCGCTGGGCGCCGGTCCTGCGGGTGTTTGGCGATGCGCCGTGTGGATCGCGGGGGGGGGGGGGGGGGGCACTGCTTCAAAGGGGGTCTTCGTAGGAGCCAGGATTTAGAGACGCTGCTTCCTTCATGGGTCTTCGCCACAGGTGTTGCCGTTGGCAGAGGGCCAAAAAAGGTGAGTACTTTCTAGGACGCATCGACACCTTCCAGGGGCATGGCATGAGTTGTTCCTTCGGTCTGCGATACTATTTTATAAGCTCTCTGGCAAAGGCGCTGCTCCTCGCGGCGTCGGCGGCTGGGAGGAAGGCGCCTGTACGGAAAGTGCATCTGCAAGGCGAAGGTTCTCTCTGACTCCTTATGGCAATCTGGTCTCTCCAACTCATCCCGCAAAGAACCCTAGGCATGGCACGTCTCGAGCCACAGAAGGTGCCCAAAGGCGCAAAAACCCGCAGGCACGGGTGCCCCATGCTGCCCCTACTCATCAAAAGGGCCTTGCAGTCGAAGTCCTGACAGGTGCCAACCTGGCATCAGAGGAGTGCGACCGGACATGCGCTGGTTGGCTGCGATGGTCATGCTCCATGTAGTCAGTCGCAACGCAACACCTTCTTGTACGTTTCCATGACTTTCCATGGACTTCTGATTCAGGCTTGAGTGCCCAACTCGCCGGCAGATGAAGCACCAGCGTGTCCGGCAACTGTCATGGTAGACCTGGGCCGAGCCATCCCAGTGAGAGGGCATAAGCAGATGGTTGCCGACAGCCCTTCGGTGCTACAGCTCTTAGACTGCCGGCCTTGCAGGCACCGGGTAGGGGATCAAAAAAAAATTTATTTGGGATCAAAAAATCATTTATTTCTAGGCGGATCAAAAAAAAACTATTTGGGATCAAAAAAAAATTACTGAAGGCTTCGAAGGCTTCTTGCAAGCGGAACGGAGGCTGTAAACGCTCAGAAATGCAGCAGTTCTGGCCGTTCGCAAGCTCTAAATCCCGAAAAAACACCGCATTTTTGCGCATTTCAGAGTTTCCAGAGAGGCTGCAGATATTGTTTGCAGCAGCAGTTCTGCGCTTTCAGAGGCTGGAAATACTGTACACTGCAGCATTTCTGAGTTTCCAGAGGCTGCAAATACGGAAAATAGCAGCATTTCTGCGATTTCAGATGCTGGAAATACTGTAAATAGCAGCATTTCTGAGTTTGCAGAGGCTGCAAATCAATGCTGGCATCTTGGCATTAGAAGTTTCAAAAATGCGTATACTCTGAAGCATGTATATTCTGGCATAGTATTGTGGAAATTCTTGCATAATATTGTATGACATTGTATATTCTTGCATGTTATTGTACGTTGTTGTATATATTGTTGAGTATTATTGTATTGTCTTGTGTTTTCTTATGTTTTGTGTGATATTGCATATTATTGCGAATTATTGAATGTTATTGTATATTTTTCAAATTATTGTATATTGTGCTCTTTTTTTGTAGGTTACTGTATATTATTGTATATTCTTGAATTTTCTTTGTATATTATTGCAGATTACTCTGTATTATAGTATATTATTGTATACTATTGTATATTCTTGTATATTATTGTCTACTATTGTATATCTAGTATTGTATATTATTGTAATCTTTTGTACACTATTTTATATTGTTGTATGTCTTGCTGTACATCTTTTGTATATTTTTGAAAAATATTGTATATATGGGCGTATGTTTTTGTATAGTTTTTGTATATTTTTGTATATTATTGTATATTGTTGTCTATTATTGAATATTATTGTCAATTACTGAAAATTATTGTAAGTTATTCTTTTTTACGTGTATATTGCTGCATATTCTTGTACATACTTGCATATTGTTGTATTTTTCTGTATTATTGTATATTATTGCATCGTGTTGTAATATATTCTTGTATATCATTGTATCTTACTGCGTCTTCATGTTTTTTTGCAAAAAAGTGCTCGCATCAGAAGGATTCATGTGCTTTGAAGCAAGCTTGCCCGGACTAAGAAAACAGCGGGGGGGTTGGGGGGGGCGCAGCCCCCCCCCCCATTTGCAAACACAACGCTTGCATCATTGGTTTGGAAAGGACATTCATATGCTTTGAAGCAAGCTTGCCCGGCTTTAAAAAACAGCGGGGGGTTTCAAGGGGGGGCGCAGACCCCCCCCCCCATTTGCAAACACAATGCTCGCATCATGGGTTTGGAAGGGATTCATACGCGTTGAAGAAGCTTGCCCGGCGCCAAACAAACAATAAATATGTATTGTGTATTATGAATTCTACATCAAATAGCAGTAAATATATACATATATGCTTTGTTGTTTCGATTTTATTATATTTTTTATGATACAAAGGTATACTGTACGATATTGTGTTCTATTCTACTCTATGCCACTACAATATTTTGTTATACTTTGTTTTAAATATATACACACACATATATATATATATTATAACATATGATGTTATGTTATGTTTTCCTACATATCCTTTCCTGTCCTTTCATTTCCTTTCCTTTCCTTCCTCCCTTCCTCCCTTCCTCCCTTGCTCCCTTGCTCCCTTGCTCCCTTGCTCCCTTGCTCCCTTGCTCCCTTGCTTCCTTGCTTCCTTGCTTCCTTGCTTCCTTGCTTCCTTGCTTCCTTGCTTCCTTGCTTCCTTGCTTCCTTGCTTCCTTGCTTCCTTGCTTCCTTGCTTCCTTGCTTCCTTGCTTCCTTGCTTCCTTGCTTCCTTGCTTCCTTGCTTCCTTGCTTCCTTGCTTCCTTGCTTCCTTGCTTCGTTGCTTCGTTGCTTCCTTGCTTCCTTGCTTCCTTGCTTCCTTGCTTCCTTCCTTGCTTGCTTCCTTCCTTCCTTCCTTCCTTCCTGCCTTCCTTCCTTCCTTCCGTCCTTCCGCCCTTCCTTCCCTCCCTCCCTCCTTTTAGCCCTCCCTCCCTCCCCTTCCCTCTCTCCGTCGGAAGAACAGAATACCTAAATAAATTATTTTTTGATCCTAAATAAATTTTTTCTTGAACCTAAATAATTTTTTTTGATCCGCATCCCTTGCAGGAAAGGCATTACAAACGTGCAGGGTTTAGGCATCACGCATGGCTCAAGGTGAGAAAAAGGACATGACAGACCTCAGAGTCATTCAAGGAAATAAGGGACGATGCAAGCCTCATCACACAATACCTTGCCTGTCTCAAGATGAAAAAAAAAGGAAGCTTGCGACTGATGGAAGCTTGCGACTGCCTGCCCACTTGTTCACAAGGTCATAAGCTATCTGCAGCCTCAACCTTAAGCGACGGGTGGGGTTCAGATGCTGAGACTCTTGCAGTCGTTCTTGAAAGCGACAACAACCAACTGTCGAGATCGTTGTCTCTTCCGTTCTGATATCGGCATAAGCAAGACCGAAACACGAAATTACCTCTCGAAGAGTGATCGTCCTCTTCAAGGCGTGAGACTACGGAGGTAGATGTATTGCCACGGAAACGCGCAGTGCCCTCACAAATTCGGCCAAGCCGGTCGATCCGAACAGCCCTAGCCAGCAAGGGACACACACAAACACAACACACACACACACTCAAACTCTACGGATATATGCAGATCTCCTGTCTCGCTCTCTCCGCTGGGATGGCGGAGTCGCTGCAAGGGGCTGTAGGAGGCCCATCTTCCCCTTTCTGGGGGCCCCGGGCCATGTTGCAGCCGCCCACGTGCTCCACCATGGCCTTCGGCTCCAAAGTGAGAGAAGAGGGAGGAGCCTTCATCCTATACATATATTTATTTATGTATTTATTGACTGTATTTTCTTTTTTGATTTGTGTATTTATTTAGTCCACTCACTTTCTTCTGTATTTCATAATTTTCCTATTCATTTACCCGACCCCTCCCCCTTGTGCCCCCCAATACGAAAAAAGTTACACGCTGTTCGTGTATGTTTACGTGTCCAGTTCGGAGTTTGAGAGCTTCACTTGGGAAACAGAGACTTTGAGGCTCCCGCGCCGCACTGCGGACAGGGTCTGAAGCGGGGCGCGCCCATCTTAGCGCGAGAAAGCGCGTCGCCAGAGAGGCAGAGAGGGGAAGAGAGGCAATGAGGGGACAGACGGCCTGTAGGGCCTACGATGAGAGTACTAAGAGATGGTGATGATGTGTCTTAAAGGGCTTGCAGACCTCCCAAATGCGATAGGGCCGGCACCAGGCGCCGCCGCGTTGCCGCCTGGAAGTCGTGGCCTGGAGGTCATTGGGACACCAGAAAATGGCAAGGAGAGAGGGGGAGATAGAGAGAGAGAGAGACACTAAAACTGCTATTACTCCTAGTTTCGACTTGTTCTTGTTTCTTGTTGCTAGTCCTTGAAACTCCTTCAGCACCGAAGCTTCCGGGTCCGGGAATTTTGAGAACGCGCATACAGAGGAAGGCAGCCGGGCCTCCTATGAGCCTTCTCTCCAGCTCCTGCCGCTCCTGGCAACGCGGTCTCCAAAAACGGCAGCCGCAACGTGGAGAACTGGCCATGTGCATCCTCACGTTTAGCAAGGAAGGCCTCCTCCATGAGGTCCCAGCAACGATGTCCAGAACTCCTTACGAAAGGCTGAGGACTATTTGGGAGGTTTTAGGGATTGCTCTCATTACACTCCGAAGCCGGCGTCTTGACTTTCTTTTGCTTGGGTGCACCGACCCACAAAGGAGTTCACTCACTGGGGGCGACCAGGGGAACTTCCAACGCCACATCGGAGAATAGCTGAGTCTTGCAATGGGAAGGGACTGGCACTTGGACAGCTCACTGTTAATTACTACTTTGGGACCTGGAGAGATGAGAGTCGGCCAGGGGTCGGATCGCAAGGAGCTCTGAGTCAACAGCGCTGCTTTCGTAACAAGCGCCCCCCGCCCCCCGCCCCCACAACTGAGAACCTGGGCTCCAGGCCAAGGAACGCCGCAGATCCGTCGCGCACAGTGGCGGGCTCCGCAGCAGCCGCAATTGCTTGGGCAGGGCCTCCAAAACGAAAATACTATAAAATGCTATTCGAACTAAAGCTTCTTAAAGCCAAGGGGGTCTCAAGGGCTCCGCACAACAGAAGCTTCAGGCCTGGCGCCATCGACGCTGGGTGCCACCCCGGGGCAGTCGGCGGCCTCAGGAGGCATTTTTCACGCTGTTCCGGGTCTCTTCCGCAGTCCGGTCAAAGTGCAGGCAGCTACACTCCGAGCTCCCTGGCGCTGCAGGGCACCCCGCCACTCCGCCGGGCCTGGCGCGGGA